GTGAGTTCTGTATCCAAAACAAATTTTTAATCCCATGGGCTTTTACGTCAAATTCTTTGGACATCCAGACTGATTACTAGAAAAGAATGGTTTATATGAAGGCACCATAAAACAGTAGTTGCTTTGGATTTCATAAATCCGTTCAAATTATCTATTTATTTGAACACAAATATTGATACAAAACGGCACCGAATACATACGCGCCAAATAATTCCCTTGGTTTGTGTGTGGGCTGTCATACTGTTCGAGTGCCCAGACCGAAGCGTGTTGTTTTCTTGGGGGGCACACTACAAGCCTTCAACTTAAAGGTCTGATTAATAAAGCAGTGAAGCGACGTAAGGAGATGCCGTCCCATGGTAGCCTGTGAACATCCACTGGTTCATACGCCATTTGTTTCCTCAGGATCCTGGAACCCGGGTGCACCATTGGTTTTGAACCAGGGTTTCCCGACTCCCCCAGTTGAACCTTCCATATCCACCAACCCGGTCCAATCGCCGGACATTCCTTTTTCGTCCTCTCAATTTTGTAAACAACCCCCCTGGTGCGAGAAGCCATTGGGTGGGACTTCCTTGTTAATGGCCGTATGCGCGTGACCATGTGAAAGCATTTCGAGAGGGAGAACTGACTCTCCTTACCCTCTGCCTTACCAGAGCATTCGGAGTTTTTAAAATCGATTCAGAATACCATTCTACGTTAACATGAATATTTTACCAATGCTTTGTAGGTAAATCTAATCATTAAGGAGAATCGTTTGCTTTTATGGATGTATAACACAGTTACAAAGTTTCTGTCTCACTGAAAGTGTAGGACAGAGATGGCCAACTGAATACTTTCAAAGCATTTTTAATAAGGCTTCCCAATTTTATATTGAATCAAACCACTATTAAGTTCAAAGTTAGGTACCGTGTTTCAGATGAAAAATAGCCGGTCAGCTAGTCTACTTGCATCATTTAGAATGGTGATTGTCTATATTTTCTATTATCTTCACCTTCCATTTATCTTATATAGTAGAGCAAATAGATAAGTCTATTGATAAGGATATTTGGTGACACCTTAAATTTTTTGTAAATGTATCGGAGCCATGAAAAGATTCTCCGGAATAAATCCTTTGAGGTTATAGTTTTTATTTCTTTTGTTTCGGTCTCTTTCTGAACTATATTCGCAAGGTTCAGTTTTCGTCCACTAGGTGGATTCTCCATATTCACCAACCCGGTTAAAGCGCCGAGCATTCGCCTTTTTTCCTTTCACTTTTGTAAACAATACCCCCGCCGCGAGGTGTCAGTGAGTAGGACTTCCCCGTGAGTGGCTGTATACGTGCGACCATGTTAGGGCGGACTCCCCCACCCTCAACCGTACCAGGGTATTTCTATTCGGAGTTTATAAATTCATCCTCAAATGTACCCGGGACAATGTAGACTGTTTGGAGTTTGATAATGTCCTCACATTTTTATCATGTTAATAGTCATTATTATTCCAAGTTTGTTATTGTTTTATTTTTTCAGAAATCATGTATAAACTTGATCGTTTAATACCAAGTTCAATTAATTTTGTACATACGGATACAATGTATAAAGTGGAAAATTTTTACCATCTTGGTAAAGAAAATAATTCATCTTCTTGTATTGAAATGTCAAGTGAATTTATTTCCAATGAATTGAATGAACGTGATAAAAGTCTTCTTAAAGAGCTTGGCGAATTGGACGATAATATATCATTTCTTTTAAGCATGTTTAAAAGTTATCATCCGAAAAATAAGGCCAATGTTTGTGATGCTCAAAATGCATCAAAATCTGACTTTATTTCTGAGCTTCGTCAGTTAACATATCATATTTCAAATCTTTCAAATCATTATAAAACAAATCTTGTTAAAGATGTACAACACGACAACATTTACAAAGAACTAAGTAAATTAGACTTAGAGTTAGACGATATTTTTAGTATGTTTACAAATTATTGTCATCTTCAACATATCAATAGCACAATGACAAACAGTACTCCAACACCTTCAAATAAATCTATTACTGTTCCTAAAGAACCTTTCACGCTTATTATTCAGTGTAATCCAAATAGTTCTCCATTATCGGTATTATTGTTTTGTCACATACTACTTAGTAACCAACATAAAGTAACAATTAACTCATTTGTACATTCAACAGTAAAAGAACTTCCTACATCACTTAAAAAGTTAATGGAAATTTTTTCAATTGATATGCATGGTTCTTCAAGTAATAACACATGCTACTGGCAAATTGACACAAAACTGTGTCTACATTTTATATGGAACTCAAGCTGTCCTGATATTACTGTTTCATCCCTTGATAAATCTATTACACCAACAACGTTGTATGGAGAATGTATGCTTGTACAATTGATTGGGAAAATTCTAGAACCTCACAATTTCGACCAACTCTCATCACTTATTATTACTATAGACTCAAGTTTACTATTACACGGATTATCGATACGTAACGCTTCCCTAGATGTAAAACAAAAGTCATTAAATGTTTTAAATAACCACCCATATTTTGTGAAGTTCAATCGTGAACTGCCATCAATCGTTGATTGTTATCTATTTGTTTGTATTAAGGAATTGAAACTGTCGGATGTATTGCCAGCTAATCTGAAATCATGGTTGCAGTTTTGTTCTAAATGGAAAAGCTTTAATTTGTTACCACTTTAAGTTTTTCTTTGTCGCCTAAATTTGATAAGTATATTTACTGGTGTATAAAAAATCTTATTTTGCTATGATTTTTAGGTTGAGAAAAGGCGTTCATGAGAACTACTTTCGTAACGTTATGTTTGAGTACTACCTATTAATTCAGTAGTTCCAAATGTTTGTCTTAGTTGGACTACTTACTAGTATACCTTGTTTAGATCAAATGATAATAATCAACATCCCAGTTTTTTTATCATTGTACTTTGAATATTAATGATCTCTGCAAAGTAAGGTACTAATTCAAGATGTTTCAGAATTTAACTAGTTATCTCACTCACCATCTTTGCCACTCTGGATTTCTTTTAGATTCTTTATCATGTATGCAAACAGAATGGTCTGATTAGTATGGTGTTAAATCTACCTAGTTTTCTTTACAAAAGATAGTTTTCTATCATTATGATTGTGTTTGAGTCTTATCTATGCAGCAAATCATGAGATAGTGAACATAAAACGGTCTTTGTGAGAAAAATTGATGCAATTAGTCAATAGCCAAATTATTTTTTTGATAGTGTTCTTAAACAGACGTATCTGTTCCTCAGTATTTAAGTGTTAAATTACTCACTTTAGCGACCAGGTACAAGTTCGTACACGACACCATTGCCCTTTTATCCAGTAGAACGAGGTTGAAACCATTTAACTAACATTTAAAACTACCACACTCTAAGAGTTAATGATAATTTCCAACTGCCTAAACTATAACATAGTTCAAATTCACAACAAAGTGGTCGCAAACGGAATACTGTAACCATTAAGCTACAACTTCACCAATCAACTTTAAATGCCCAGTAGCTAAAATTTGTTGATAAAGTTACAAAATGACCATTTTACTTGTTTGATAAGTTCTTAGATCTAATCATGTTAATGAGTGAAGCCAAGTAGTATATATTCAACTGAATCATCATCTCACAGGTCCGGCTCAACGTTGATATGGTTGATTGCTTAAGATCATTTTCATTTAAAATAGTTTACTTGACACATTCTTGTGCACAAGTTTTCATTTGTACTGACATTGTTTGGTATGATAAAAGTTTGCTTTCTTATATATAGCTCAGTTGTTCTATCTCTGTCGTGATTTGCACAGCTTTGTTCGTAATTTCCAAACTAGTTGAAGCTTACAAGCTAACTTTCTCAAGTAATTATGATCATGGACACCTCACTAGAATTCCGCAAGCTTCTTAGGTTTCAGAATTAAATCTAGGATGGTATAAGTGCTGCGTGCCATTAGGCTACCTTAAGTTAGCCGCCCTCCTGACTGACAGTAGGTGTTGTTGGATTATGTCTTTAGCGAAGTGTCAGAATTTTAGACACGTTGAGTTTTAAGCAACGTGAAACCACATTACAGGACCTCTTGTACTGATTTCCTTCAAGTATCGAATATTGATGTTACTCCTAAAGCAGTTGTTTAGTGTGAATTCATTTTTAAACGGTTGTTAGGCTGATATATATTTCCTGTGAATAAAAGTCGCTTTTATTACAGTCAGAAATCCCCAATTCACGTACTTCTTTTAGTTATACAAGTAAAGGAATAAATCATCATTCATTTACTTTTATAAGTTAATGCATGCAATCATTCTAAGAAAGTACATACACATGAAGAATCGTACTGTAATGTATTTTTCTGCATATCAACTTCTTTAAAATAATTTGAGGTACAATTGGGCTAGATTAAACAAATCAGAAAAGGGCCAAATGTCGAAGAAATACCATGACACACTATAAACTATCAAACTAAATTGAAATTATGATTTAAAGAAAAGATCGTTGGGGAATTCAAGATGCCAGAGACATCAGAAAATAAGAATTGAGTATCTTTTGCAAAGTGAATTAGATTATTACACGTAATCCTATCATAATAAAAGTATTTCGATACTAATTAAATTCAACAATCAATAAAATCAAGAGGGAATTGATTGTATAAAATAAATAACAGTATCTACAGATGAGAGGATATTACAAAATAGTAGGATATCATTAAAAATTAAACAAGCAGTAGTGTCATTATGAATTCTCCAATCCACTAGTTGAAACATGATTGAGAAATGTAAAATAAGAGTCTATACTTGGTTGTATAAAGGGCAGAAATTATTGACTAGGTAAAGCCGTTTACTACCAATGTCAATAGGTGAATACACCAGTGTGTAGTGTACAAAAGTGTGCATAAGACAGAGTGAAATGAAGGATAAGAAACTCAGTAGGGACATGATTTATGTGTATTTACGTAATATGAGGAGTAAAACAAGAAAGAAGGACGCATGTGTATACGATTGCAAAACAAATATGAATATTATTGAACATTGCAATTGATTGGTAAAGGCTTATCTGGGTTTAAACATTTATTACACGTAAGTAATTCAGATACGGCACGTACCATATAGGACATTGTACCGAATTTTCCGGCAGGTGGTGTGTCATAGAAACGCTGACAAATATTATGTAATCCGTTGCACGTTAAAGTGCTTTGTCTACGTGCTTGGTTATTATTACTAGGCGTTGAGTCAGTGACTCCAGATTGCTTCATTGGTTTTGCACAACACACTGTGGCGTTTCCGCCATACTTTATCTAAGAAAAAAAGATGTAAACATTACGAAGCTTGTCAACTACTCTATCACTTAACATTATCAGCACACGGTTAATTGCTTTCACGAGCAAGTATTTACCGAACTGAGTCATTTCCTCAATCAGTAGGATATAAGTGGTTGTGGAAGATAACGACTAATGTTACCCACTACATCATCATTGGTGTTGGATGGTGGTTAGTTTTGCAACTCTTTAGCATAACAATAAAACAGCTAAATTGCTTGACGAGTAACAGGTTTCTCGTTACGATTTTAATAAAGACAAATTGTTGAAAAGGATTCTTAGAATGATGACAGAATTTATCAGCTGTGGCTGTACGAGTATGGACAAATACTGATTAGTAATGATCTTACTTCCATAATCGCTTGACGTACGACGAGACGGTGGATCCTACCAGAGAGTATTCGTATTCTAGAGCTAAATACACTGCTTGAACAGGTGCATATAGCAATGACCTTTAGGTTAAAAATATTTAGATTCAAATAATACTGTTCACATTCAAATTATTCTTAGGAACATTATGATCTAGAACAAACTACCACAATTTGTGTAATCAAAATGTTATGAGAACTTGAAGTTCAAACCAGCAATTTCGCAAATAAATGTAGTGGTATGGTAGCCAGAAATCGATTGATACACAATTGTATACTACTACTACAACTACTGCACATAGTTACTTAGCCGAACTGTTTAAATTTTGGCTTATTATCAGCATCATTCAACGTAAGGTAAGAATACCATTTAAGGTTTAACGATTGAGATAGTGATTTGGTTTCCGTATAGTCTAATAAAGGGTATCTTGTTAACTGTTTAACGATTTCTGTTTCTTCCAACAACTGATGTTGAACTAATTGAGTTACAGTTTCGAACAGAGTTTAATTAAACTATATAATCCAACAAAGCAATCACTTACTTGATCAATTAAAAATAAATTATTTGCTTTCTCCACAATATCTTCAACTTTAACGATACAATCAATAAATATTCGATTGTCAACATCATGCATCATCAATGAACCAAGTACGTGAATTGCTTCAATAATTAATTGACGATATTCTGGTGTACTAACCATTGTGCATACATGTTCAACAGTTAAAGCAAATTTATGTTCATCCATTGTCATCTAGATTAAGTGAAGGTGGGGGGAAGATGGTAGAGGATACAAATATTATTTTAAAAAATAAAGGAAATATAAATCTTTTCTTATAAAATCAGCATTGATAACAGGATTTTTAACATTAAATTCCAAATAGATAATATGGTGTCAAAATACTGAAGGAGAAATTATTAATCTTCAAAACAAGGAATACTCAGAATACCTTAAAATGATTCCATAAGGAAAAAAAAACTAGTAATGTCGAAAGATGTTTCATCGGTAAAAGTTTTAAAATACTTTGGTTATCACTGACTTGTAATCCTAGGTTATCTATGGAATAGTGAGGAAAGTTACAATTTCCAACTACCAGGTTACAAACTTGAGTCTCAATCTACTTCGATTTAAGCAGTTACGTAGTATCACTAAACCGCATACAAGAAGCATGGCTGGCTTATTACGTACTCAATGTTTGGCTATAATGTTTACGTCAGATACAGTTTTATATTACATAGAGAACATAAACTGGGGTAGATGGGATAGGGCATGAACATTTGACCTACTTGGTCAAAAGCTGAATGGTTTAATCACTAATCCAAACTAATGCATGAAATTATATTTGATTATTAAGTTGTTTTTGAGCATTGGTAAGTCACAGACTAATGATATGAACGAATGCCCAGACTAAGGAGTTATCACTCTAATCTGATCTGAGTCACGTAGGAAAATGTTGTTTAAATCAAAACCTATACCTCGTTTTTATCGAATGATCAAATTAAGCTAATAAATATCACATATAACAAGCAGTTTTGAAAATGAAGAATATGGAAAAGATTCTTTTGCAGAATATATTGTTTTATGAAAATGTTAGAACGTAAAAAAAATACAAAACAAGGACTTGACAAATTACAAAGTTAAAAAATAATAAAAAATGATTTATTTAATAGTATACACGACATTTAGCCAACCAGACATTAGCCAAATCATAACGGGCGAACGCTATTGGACTTCATCAGTAAGAGAGTACTTGTAGTCTTGAGGGAACAGATGATCCCTGTAGTCACTGCTCAGTCATTAACTAATTGTAAATATCCCTGTCCTACAGAGCAGTAATAGAATGAATAGCTCAATGATAAATGCTCAGATTGTGAAAGTGGTTAATACGGGTCAGGATCAACCAGAGAGTGTCAGCTATCTGACGACTGAAGGTACACCTTGCTGAGGACGAGTGTCAACCAGGACAAAACCTAGGTGAATACAGCGTATCTTGGTTAGCTATCTCCAACTACCTAACATCCCAAACAAAGTGATTAAAGTGCAACTAAGATATACAAATAATTGTATCTTTTTAATTATTTCAGAAAGTGAAAAAAACTTACTTCTTTTGTCAAATTATGACTAAGTATTAGACTGCCAATGCTTAAACCTTGCATATGAGTTAATGTGACATACACTCGTTTATAGAATCCAGGTGGGACACGATTCAATGCACCATCAATTTTACGTCGACGACTCCAAAGGCTTCGTAAATCAGTTTGACAATTTTCATTTTCTGCCTCAGTTGTAACACTAGCGACTATAGACTGTTTACGTGATGCAATCAATGGACGACTTGCAGTGGATCTTTTCTTTACAGAACCAGAAATAGTATCTAACGTAACCTGTAAGTTATCTTGATTTGTAAGAGTTGTATTTATAAGTTTAATTGGTTGCTGTATAAAAGTAAGTAGGATATAAAAATATTACAACTTTAACTATTATCGAACAAGATGCAATTACAGTAAAAAAAAACGAATTGAATGTTACAACTTTATGTAAATTCTTTGAAATACTATGTAAAAACGAATAAGGACTTCCCACTATATACTAAAAAGTTATTGCAGTTGAAATTTTGAGAGAAAAAAAGACACAACTATTATTGATTTAACTGTATACCATTAAAAACTTAGTGACAGAAATAATAAAATCAAGAAACCAGTTATCGGAAGATTCCAAATAATATCAGTCAAACAATAAGATGAAGGCTGGAGAGCAAATCGAAAGACAAAAACTGATGAATATTTTTTAAAAATTGTGTTATGAACTGATATTGGATAATATCACGCCATAGAATAAGTTACAATTAGGTCATTAGGTCAAGATACTATTGTCCATAGTTTCAAATTTAATCAATTCACGATTCAGTATTCCGCACCAACATGTCACACTTTCAAACACACCGAACTTGATATATCATGAACTGTTTACTAGAACGCATCTGCCAGTTAATGAGCATACAAAGTAACTGCTTAGTTGGTTAATTGTGAAGATAAGCAGATTTTTGGAACAGAACATATTATTATGATTAATGAATAAAATATAGAATTTTCCAAGTTACTAGTAAATTTGAAAGCAATATCGTAAGTTATTTGAGCACACGATAAAAAGTCTAAATAATCGAATGGGATTAAATTGCTTGGTTTCCTCAATGTCCTTGAAGAGTTGATGGTAAATTCACTATTAAAATTCCTGTCTATTTATGGGCTTATCAGGAAAACTATAACAATGTTTCGCTGACATCATATACAATGTGAATAAGAATACAGAAAATTATTAAATTGAAAACCGAGGAATATTGATAGTCTGTAAAATCAAGTAGGACAAAGATAACTTTTTCGATCACATACACATAAATCCTTGAGAAAATACTGTACTGTAGAAAAATGCTTGGGAAAATAACTCAAAAGAAAACACCAAACACTAATGGATAAAATGAAAAAGCAAGCATGGTCTCTATATGTTTTAATTTGGGAAATTACAGACACCCGTGAAGAAGACAATAAAATAAACAGGTTAATACTATGAATCTACTCAAACGTTCAATTATTTATTAAGCATTAAAAACAATATATGAAACACAAGACATCTGTCAACCAACATAAAAGTTAGAATCTTCAATACGAACTTCAAGACAGTTCTACTGTATGGAGCTGAAACGTGGAGAACAACCATAATAATCATCAAAAATGTACAAGTATATATAAACAATTGTTTACGCAAGATAATCAATGTCTGTTGGTCACATACAATCAGCAACAACCTAATGTTGGAGAGGACAAACCAGTTTCCATCTGAAGAGAAAATTAGGAAAAGACGTTGAATAGGGCATACTAAAAACGATGACAGACCGGATAGTTTGCATTGATAGTGTCTGTAAGTACGATGTGAATAGAAACCTCCTCTACAAGATTCTAGACATAATGTGTTGCTGACAATCAACAGTTAGAACATAAGCTCAGCCTAGAATTTCATGCCCATTGCATCAACCAAACTAGAAGTAGAGCAGTAAAAAATCAACATTTCGTAATCTTTATGCAATCCCATGAGGAAATTGCTTTCTTCCTTTAAAAAAATTAATATCTATCAATTTTGCAAGTTTGATTCTCATTCAATTTTAAGGTAAATAAACAACAATAATACAAAATCTTTGAAAGTATATTCATCAAGCAAAGAGTATACATATTGCTAAAATATTTTAACATGTCAGTTAGTTCTAAACAACGTAGAACATTTGAAATGTGTCCATCAGGTCTATTTAACATGACATCAGTAAAGAGAGATCAAAATATCCACAACATTCCCAAATTAGTTGAACAATTAACAATGTAAGTGGTAATTTATGTGCTTAAAAATATCAACGAAAATAAACAAAAGATTAAGTATTGATAATCTGATTCAAGAAGAATGAAATTGCATATGAAAAAGTACAAGATAATTTTATAGTTCGAGATATAAGGGAAAACAAAGAGTAAATCCATCTCTACCATCGCGGACATTTCTGAATTATATTGCTAAATTTCCGGATAACTTTCTCCGTCTTTATTTCCCAAATTTATACTTTCTTTTCAAGTCGTATATTCGATGCCTAATCTTTTCTATTATCTCTGATACTGTTAGTACCTTTACTGTTCTGGGACTTGGCGTGACAACTTCTCTCTGTCCTAATAGAGTAAAGCAACTTGAAATGATGTACATAAGTAAAGGTTCTACATTATGACTAAGATAACCAAACATCTCAAATCAGAGACTGTAGTAACAGTGCAAACTCCAACTGCACCAGCCAACCTGGTTCGGATCAATAGTCGATGGCTAAAACTGAGGATAAAGAAGAATTGGACAGTCGGAAAAGCAGGACTACGAAAGTTTGATACCGACTTTCTTAGAGATGCTAACAGTTTCGGCTAGTTCAACATAGCTCTCAGCAAAAAGTTTCAAGTCTCACAAGACCTCAAGACCTACTAGAAGAGGAAACTCCCATGGAGATCAACTAGAAAAGGATTAACCAAGCAATAACTTCATTATCCCATGTGCTGGACACAACAAACACCAGAATAAGAAACTAATCTCTATAGATACTCTGGATAAGATTCAAGAACAGAAAGGTAGGAAAACAGTAGTCAACAATAGAGGAACGAAGGTAGAGAAGGCCAAGTTATGGTCTGAATGTATAGAAGCAAACAAGTGAGTAAAGAGCATGATAACAGACAAATGAAAATATGTAGAAAACCTGGCAATCAAAGTAGGACAAGATGCAGGATAAGGAGCACCAATCACTGAGGTTGAAGAGCAGTGAGACAGAGTGGGTAAGAGACTTTGAAGAACTAAATAGACCAGAATCACTAAAGCTACTGGGCATTGCAGAAAAATACACAGACTTCTCGATAAACATTATTTAACCAACAATAGAAAAAAATCAGCAGTACTGTTAAACAAATAGAGAACGGGGAAGTAGCAGGGTCGGTTAAGGCCCCAAAGTGAAAATAGACACAACATTTGAAATTATAGGAAAAAACGGAGCTAATCCGCACAAATAAACTTCCCACACTTTAAGATAACAGTATCACCTTTGACAATAACTAAAATGAATTGTGACAGTACTATATATATATATATATATATATATATATATATATATATATATATATATATATATATATATATATATATATATATATATATATATATATATATATATATACATTATAGTTCCATGAAATTTTAATGACTAAACCTGTTGTGACTCTGTCTGAACGATAAAATAACACGTTCGTATGAGCGATTCGAAATATCGTGAAAACGGTAATAAATCGTTTTTGGGTATGACAGTGAAATAAATCGTCAAGATAAGTAGGATAAAATATAATATAAATTGGTCTGTGACGCTGACAGAATAGTGAAATATGAACATGTTCTGATGAGCCACAGTACAGTAACTAGCGTCAAATAACGATGAGTGGATTTGAATTTAAATACGTAGAGTTCCCGTTCGTAGGATAATAATAATCAAGTGGTGAAGTGATAACTGCATTGATGGGTGATATTCATTGTTGTACTGCAATCGATAATAATCATAAAATGTGAAGTCAGTGTACGTTGTCGTTTGCGTTATGACAAATGAATCGATTTATCGTTAAATATGTATTAGTAGAATGACCAGAGTGGGTGATGAATGATGCAGCGTGCAGTTATACTTGTGGACGAATAGATGAGATGAACGTAATCGTTACTAATCAGTTAGTAGATTTAGAGGCATCAACAGACATAATAGGAGGCAATATCGAAATGAAAAATGTGTGGTATGATAACATAAAAATGACCTCGGCTAAGTGAATGAGTGCAATAATGGGCGAAAAAAATGACATGAAAAATTTGGAACGAACTCACTTAAAGCAGGCAAACTTTACGTTATTGAATAATAAGATATAGTCCAGTGAGTTTTGAATGTCATATCGTGGAGTGTTCATAAAATTATAATTTTTGCGGTGAGTGATATGATTGCGAAAATGTCCATTATTGCACTCATTCACTTAGCCGAGGTCATTTTTATGTTATCATACCACACATTTTTCATTTCGATATTGCCTCCTATTATGTCTGTTGATGCCTCTAAATCTACTAACTGATTAGTAACGATTACGTTCATCTCATCTATTCGTCCACAAGTATAACTGCACGCTGCATCATTCATCACCCACTCTGGTCATTCTACTAATACATATTTAACGATAAATCGATTCATTTGTCATAACGCAAACGACAACGTACACTGACTTCACATTTTATGATTATTATCGATTGCAGTACAACAATGAATATCACCCATCAATGCAGTTATCATTTCACAACTTGATTATTCTAATCCTACAAACGGGAACTCTATGTATTTAAATTCGAATCCACTCATCGCTAATCGACGCTATTTACTCTACTGCGGCTCATCAGAACATGTTCATAATTCACTATTCTGTCAGCATCGCAGACCAATTTATATTATATTTTATCCTACTTATCTTGACGATTTATTTCACTGTCATACCCAAAAACGATTTATTACCGTTTTCACGATATTTCGAATCGCTCATACGAACGTGTTATTTTATCGTTCAGACAGTCACAACATAAGTGCATGTTAAATTTTTTAAATGCTTATTAATTTGCTCATATTCGCATGCTAATGTTTCCATTTTTGTCCGTACCTTTACGATATTCATGTATTCTTTTACATAAGTATGACACTGTCGTATATTACACTCACTCCTGTTGTGACACTACTTTATCGGGTGTAGCATGATTTTTTTCGTTACTTATTGTTAACGTGAACCACACACCTCTTCAATGTTATTTTCGAAAACAGACATTTTTTCAAATGTGCTATTTTCTACAAGGGGGTTATGTATTGTCGGTTATTATTTTAAACCCATATACCTTATTCTAGCTTCCGGACTGGTTAATCTATTCATTCTAGTTCAATCATATTTTGACCTTGGTAATTATTCACTTGTCAACCTTGACTGCTTTTACATGAGCGTATGTATGTACACTTCTTATACTATTCATCACATGTTTATAACTTAATTTTTTGTGACTATAAATATTGATTAACGCGTGGTTAAATGGAGTTGGCTCACACATCTTCTCCACTGCGCGTCGCGTCGCTTCACTCTTTTCTCTTCGCTTCTCCGATATTTTGTCTGAATCAAAGATTGTATGAAATATACGTATTCGAAATTCATTCTCGTATTTGTCTTATTTAATTCCGTTATTGACTAACGCGATTTAAGTCGAAGATTATATACGAGGATAGGCGACATATATATTTCAATAACAATCATTCATACGATCTACTTGGAGTCAGATTCCAGGCCAACAAAAACCATTATACACGCGCCTGCTATTCCAAATTATTATCAGACAGGTTAAATAAGAATAATAGATTTATGATAAAAATAATAATTCCGGTATTGATAAGGTAATTATAAGTGACAAGTTATTAGGCTATTTTGTGACTGCTATTGTATCAATCTTGAACAATCATTTATTTTCATATTAGTTGTCATGCAATGTCTTGGCTCAATATTTTGTAAGCATTTATATTTAGTCAGTTGGTATTAGTGGTCCCATTTTTTGAAACAACATACTCAAATAAGCAAATGGTTTTTGTCATTCTACTTTTTATTCCGATAATTTATCTAACTAACTTCTCAAGAAATGAAAATAGCATTTATCCACAACAAGAAGTACCTACAATCCTGGGGGAACTGATTCTTCGAATTTGAACCGGCGCCAACCAGCTCCACAGTCTGATGAGAAGTTACTATTTAGCTATTTGAAACCTGACTGACCTCCTATGCGACTGAGAAATCTATAACCGACTTACTAATAAGTAGTGAATAATGACATGTTTGTCTAGTTCTTCAATGTTGATTAAGCCGCAGCGTGGATACAAGATGACTGGCTAACGCATGCAGTATGTTGATATATTAATTGGTTAGAGATAGTTAACTGGGAATATCTCTATATATAACTGACACACAAGACTGAATACTAAGGATTATATGATTACTTGAAAAATCCTATTTTTATAACAATGAAAATCTATAAAAATATAAATTTACCCCTGTAGATTTACGATGGAAAGTTTGGTCTGGAAAAACAAAAAAAGCAGGCGAACAGGTAAAAATAATAAATTTTAAGACAGATATATTATTAACAAAACTCCAACTAACTAATTAGCACTTCCTAATTCAAATACAAATGCTGTAAATACGACAATGAGGAATAAATATTTTGACCAAGTAAGATACAGTACTAATTAGGATAAATTTCGGTAAGGTATAAACATAGAAGTGACATTGTAAGTGTGGATACATTGTTCGATCCATCACATTTTCAAAATCAATCAACTTTGCATCATTTATTTGTGTTTGAATCCTTACTTTACTGATATTAAGGAATTAATGCTGACCAGGCTCTTTTTAACATATATGGATGATGAGAGCATTACTTCTATATCGCTGTAATGTTATAAGTATTTAGGCATGCGTAAACATCAACTCTGAGATGTAGGTAAATCAAGCTGACGAGTCCAGACTAAGAGAGAAAGCATATCCTGGATTCCAGTGCTAGTTACAATCCAATTTTTCTAAATAAATTGTATCATAATAATGATATCGAGACAATCAGCACAGGATGCGTATACATCAAAAAAGACTAATCCGAATTCAGTCCTGAATAGGAACAGAGACAGCTCAAACTCTCATTAGTAATGTTTTGAAATCATTCCTATCCTACTAGAGAACATTTCAACAAAGATATCTTAGTTTAGGTAGAGAGGCAAGCCTTGAAGCAACGTTTATGTGATTCACCTTCTTCGTAAGTTGTGTCAGCAATGTTAGAAAATTGATTAACTTAGTATATTACATACAGATATTCTTTAACATAAAGTACCGGTCTTTCAACTATTAATTTGTTATTTTAGTCTGTTGTTCCTTACGCTCGACACCTGACAGTAAAAATGACACCACTGACAAGTGTCTACACTTACCTTTGAATATGTGAGATTCTTCTACCAGAAGTTACAGTTTTCTGCTAACAATTAGAAAAGTTCTTCGAACTATCTAAAATTTGGTTACACGTAAAGTTTGTTCATGCCTATCAAAATGTCGATACCTACTAGCGCGTTCAACGATAGCTTACTGCTCATTTATGGATGTGTATACCACAGATTTGACACTAGTCAAAATCCAGAGTAAACCATGTAGAAATCCGAGACAAATCAACATCATATTGATTTTAGGGACGCGACATCCTGATATCTCGTTATTATATCATAGACATCTTCATAAATCTATCAAGAACCATACCATAATAGGGTTACAATCAAAGATGGAGTGATAATACTCTTATAACCATTACTATTGGTATTAAGAAATATTAACTCATGTCCAAAATATATAATAATCTCAAATAATGAACTTCAATGACTTTAATCATCTTTTCATGAGTGAAATTACAGGTTGACCATTAATCACAATCACAATAATAATAATAATAAATAGCTTGGAAAATTTAGTGTTTATTATGATACAAGATTTTTTAATGATACTGGGATTCTTATGACTCATTAACCAAATTCAGGTTTATGTATTCGGTTGTGAAATATACAACTGATGTGAGAAATCGTGGATGCGCACTGCTGAGGAGTCCCAGACTAGGACGGAACGGTCATCCAGTGCTTCCAGGTTTTGAATAATGATCTAGCATTCATCAATTCATGATCTAAATCAAAATCTTAACAATCTCCACAACCCAACACTGAAAATGTTACTTACTTGTCTTAACAATACGCATATCTTCGCCATTGAGTAGATTATGTAGTAAACGTTTCGTATCGATTGGACGCATTGAGAATAAAGCATACAATGAATCCTCAACAGTTAAACCCAAACCACGAGCTAATTCAGCAGCCATCATTTGGATTATTAGCCCAATACGTAAGCGTAAAATATTTTCCAGTTTTTGAGGTTGTGTACGTGCAAACATTGATAAATAAATAAGAATTTCCTTTAAATAAATCGAACAAATTTATGGAGAATTAATGGATCCATAAGAGGTTGAACTGAGAAACCAAATAAGATCAATATCTCTCAGGAAAAATATCGAGTGACAGACGGAAAAAAGATGTATGACTCACTTTCAGGTCCTCGGCAAAGTTTAATAGGAAGCGTTAAAAAACCACGAATGATGGAGTTTGATAGTGAACAAAGCGATCTAAAGTGATGTTAGTGGTTTTCATGGCGTCAAATATCACGTGACAAAATCACCCATCAGAATACTGACTTCTGTGACCCCATCAATGTACTAAACTAATGACCCACCAAATAGTACTATCAGCCTTGAGTTAACTCTGAATCCTTATTGATCCTCGATATAGAAGCTTTTCACCTAGCCCACCCCGTTTAGTCCAGAACACAAATATCAGTCTCCACTATATGAATCGTATATTTCAGATATACGTGGTTTATATACGAGCAGAAGGAACTATCGCTGAGGATGATGATTATCTAAGGGATAATCCTTACTGCTATTATACCTCAGTACAGTCATAAGCACAAATTCGCCCTAAGACCCCAAGTTACTATTTTGGAGATATTTGTCCTCCAACTAACCTACTTGGTATGCTGAGACCTAAAGGAACGAGTGTTTCCCTCGATACATCTAGACTGGGTCATCACAATAGGGAAATCTAACCATTATATCAAGATAGCAGCTAGAGTTGGGAAAGTCAAAACTCAACTTAGTATGAGACCGGAATTAGATGTGGGAAATGTATGAGCACAGCTCACTATATGGAACTTGTTATGTCTTGTGGCCTGTCAATTCTCACGTGATAAGATCGCCAATCAGAAAATGACTTATACAATCTTAGTACTGTGCCAAACAAATGACGTGTTGACCGATACGAGAAACCTAGAGTCCTTATTGATCCCTCTCGCCTAGCCTTGTCTGTTGAGACCAGAACACCATCTCAGCTTCCACCTTATGGATCATATATTTCAGACATACGCGGTTCATATACAAACAAACCAGATCACATCATACCGTAAAATAGAAAATGATAATTATACAACATCAAGCCAAAACGTGTCTGTGATTGTGAAAGGCTGTAACTAATAAATTGGGAATAACTTAAGAATAGTAGATCATATAAAAGTTTTTGATTGAGATCATGAACCAATTGATGTTAGACCACCATTGAAAACCTAGAAACACTGGACAGCCGTTTCGTCCTATTTTGGGACTCCTCGGCAATGCGCATCCACGATCCCGTCCGCGGGACTCGAACCCAGGGCCTTCAGGCTCGTGCGCGAATGCCTAACTTACTGGACCACTGAGTCGGCATCCGATGGTGTTAATAGGTCAAATAGAAGGTTATGGTAAAAGGAATATAGATATATATAATCTACTTATTCAACAACTATACAGTAAGAATATATGTAATAACAGTCCATAAATAGTTCCCAGAAGTTACCCATAATTTATTCTTCTCCGAATACAACAGAACCATTCACTTCTACTTGAATATTCCTAGTTCATTTTCCCGTGATAGGCAATGAACTTAGTTTTAAGTATCCAAAGACTACACAATAATGAACCTGGGATATCTGCATTTCATGACGAATATAATCTTTGTAAATAAGAGCTTTCGTCTAAATTTGAACGAATAGTTTCACAATATTTGGGCGCCGAGTTAATTTGAGTCATTAAAGAAGAAGAATGTAGTTGTAAAATCTCAGCGAAAGAATTTGAAGTAAATCCAACGTTTCGCCTGGCAATCTGCTCCAAGCTTTTTCAAGGAAAATATAATCAAACAACAAAATTATATTAGATATTCGATAATTTTGTTGTTTGATTATATTTTCCTTGAAAAAGCTTGGACCAGATTGCCAGGCGAAACGTTGGATTTAATTCAAATTCTTTCGCTGAGATTTTACAAATATATTCTTCCTCTTTAATAATCTTTGTAGTTATGATATATCGAGCTACTGAATGTGTTAAGACAAAGGTATAATCGATTTTTCAGTTATGTAATTTAACATCAAGATGGTAGATCGATCAATATAACTACTAATCACCATATATATGTGGACAGTTTTAATATGTCAAGTCATAGATATCACTTACATAAAAATCGTGAAGAGTTGAGGCTAATTCATAGAAGATTACGATAACAAAAGACAGATAGCATTAATGAACCTTTTGACTGATATTGAATAAATAAACTACTGGGGGGGTTCGCCTTTTTAATCCTCTTTGATAATACATCAATATCCCTTCGCCTTATTGACAGTCTTTTACTGTGTTGTCCTCATAACGATGTTTATTGAGACATTTATAAAAAATATGACGAATAGAGCGAAGTAATGAGTTTGTTATTATAATTTCACACTAATAAAAATCAGGGTTTCAGTAATAATAAAATAGAAACCATTCAAGCAGTAATGTTAAACCACAGTACTACAAATTTAAGAGTTTACATCACGGACTGATTTTAGACAACCAATGAAAGCTAGGAAGCACTGGACAGCCGCTTTGTCCTAGTACAGGACTCCTTAGTAGTATGCATTTACGACCCCACTATAAGAGAACGAACTTAGGACCTTCGATCTCGCAGTGAGCATCTAAAATTTAGACCACTAAGCTGGTGTCTAGTGGTTTACATATGTAGCTTCAACCAATTCGCGATATTGGGCATGTCTCTGGAAATAATTGAGAATGAATAATAAAATAATTATAAGACGAGATGGACAAAGCGATTATTATTCAAAGGTATTAATTATCATGAGAAAAACTGAGACAAGTGGTTATGGGTCCCACGATATAATAAAAGAGAACTAGCGAGACATCGATAAACAGCTGAATATTAAAAAAAGTTATGTAAGGATAAAGAGAAGAGAACGTTACAGTTATGCAACGACATAAAGTTTCGAAGAAAGACATTGGTCAATAAGTGCCCCCAAATGCCCTGGTACGGCCGAGAGTGGGGAGAGTACGCTCTCCCTCTCGAAATGCTCTCACATGGCCACGCGTATATAGCCTCTGCCAGGGAAGTCCTACTCACTGCCTTTTCGTGGCGGGGGTGTTGTCTACGAAAATGAGAGGACGAAAAGCGAATGTCCGGTGCTTTAACCGGATTCCAAACCAATGGTGCACATGGGCTCTAGTATCCTGAGGGAACGAATGGAGTATGAACCAATCGTTGGTCACAGGCTACCATGGGACTGCATCTCCTCACGATGCTCCACTGCCTTGTGGATCAGACCTTCAGGTCGAAGGCTCGGGGAGTGGCCCCCTAAGAAAACCAACTGCTTCGGTTTGGGCACCCGGGCAGTATCACAGCCCTCACACATATCGAATGAGATTTGTGTGGCGCATATATATTTGGTGCCTCCTTGTACCAATGTCTATGTGTTAAAATAAATAAATAAATAAAATAATAAGGTATAATAAGTCGATTGTAACCCAATCTAATGTTGGCTATTTTGATGTCTAAAGTAAGGAGAGCACTTGTACAGATTACTTATGAACACAAAATTCAAAGTTGTTATGGCGGATGCGACAGCTTTAAATGTATATGAACAATGTGGCACAATTTTGGTGGGACCAGGTGGATAATTTAAAAAATGTTATCCACGTAACTTTTCGTATTGATTAGAAACGTAAGTATAAAGTTCGTAATTAACTTTGACTGAAATCTTTTTGAATCAGGTTCATAAATTCAGTGACGTGTGGGTTATGTTTATAATTCTGTAGTGTTCTCATTAATATTCATCATTTAACATGTGATGCAAGATAGAATAAAAAAGCATATTCTATGCATATATACAAAATGATGAAGTTTAGAGGGAAAATTGAATGAAGTATTTATCTATTTATCAGCAACAGAGAAATCGACAGTGAAGGCTCGAAAGGTCTTGATATTTAAAAATTGGTAAACAACAGAATTTAATTAAGCGGTTAAAATCAAATCAATAACTACATAAAATCAATAAAATGTTGCAGCATTCCGTTGTGTTGCGCTAACAATGAATAACACATACAACATACGAAGATATACAATGCGTTGGATTCAGTTTTTAACATACGTCAACTCCTATATATACTGGGAAAGAGCGAATAACTAACCAACCATATGTCCAGACATACATACACATAAATACTTCAACGGAATAATCAGTGATCATAATGCGTGGATGATATGTAAGGATATATATATATATATATTACAGTACAATTGTTTAAAGGGAAGACTGTGGTATAGAAAATGTGCAATTAATTGCTATATACACAATATTGACCCATTCATTGTGTTCATTTCATCAACAACATCTTAATATGGTCATTTATACGAATATTTGTCAATATTAGGACAAATAGTTTGACAAAAATTAAGCGCCGAGTATAGAAAAGTTATTATATGTGAAAATTATATCTGAAATAATCTCAGCAATTGAAATGTAAATAATTTCAACGTTTCGTCCAGCAAACTTGTCTGGACCTCTTCGGGGTAATAATATGCACCAAAACAGCTGAGAAATGATAAGACAATTATCATTACGAGAGAACATAAAGGGAATACGACAGTTAATATGAACAAATCGGACTACGAGAAAAAAGCCCGTATGAACTAATTAAAGAAACGAAAAGTAGAACGCTTAATACACTTAAGGCTGAAACCAGTAAAACCTTACAGTCGTTAAAGGTTAAACTGGGATCGCCATTATGGTTTATATTATATCTGAGTTGTAAACCTTGTAGATTCTACGAACTTTCAAAGATTCACAAGAATAATATTCCACTAAGACCAGTGGTTGATTTTACAAATTCACCGTATGACAAATTGAACAATTATGGAATAAGAAACTCTATGGAATTCAAGAATATTATCGATACCATCCATATAGAAGACAATGAAATGACGGCAAGTTTTGATGTATCTCTTCCTTATTTACTAATGTACCTGTCAATAGAGCGTTGGATATTACTTATGATTGTTTAGAATCTGACTCAGATTTGAATTTACGATGCCCATTAGATCCACCTGAAGTTATTAAACGCTTGAAGTTATTTCGATAATGATATTAGAAGACGAAGATTATCAGAACTATGTGATATATTAGCGCAATACATTTCGAACAATCTGGTCACACATATACTTGTTAAGAGCATTTATATATAAAAATAAAAGGTCAACTAGACAGGAAACGGGGTAAGAGGAGATAAGGATAATGATAAGAGTAACATTAATAATAATGTGAACACAAAGCGAAACCTAATCACTCTTGATAATAAGTCAATATTACCAGGGTAGGTTTAAGGTAAAAACAAACTGTTTTTGAACACATAAAGGGGGTTTGAATTTTCGTATGGCTAAGGCTTCAATGAACCTTAGTATACGCCCTTTTACACTTTTATACAGCTTGAAGTTATGTTTACAATCCACCTTATTCATATTTCGAGGAAACCCTCACAAACAGAAAGAAGGTAATAACAATGGGTTCACCAGTTTCTCCGATTGTAGCGAATTTATTCATGCATTCCCTAGAAGCCAGTGTGTGTTATTTACGTACTGTAGATGACATTTTTATTATCATTAAACGGGATGGCTTAGAAGAATTGTTTGAAAATGCAAACAGCTTTTCGGAGAGAATTAAGCTAACAAAGGAAATAGAATCCAGTGACCACAATATAGTGTTTCTCGATTGTTTGGTTGAACGAAGACATAATAATCATAATAATTTGAAAATATATGTATTTAGGAAACCAACACATTCTGAGAGATACTTAGATTATGGTTCGGCTGATGCGCTTTGTAAGAGAGTCACAGTTGTGAAAAATTTAAGTCCACCGTGGTCATCCCATACCATAATGAAACATCGAAAGAAATCAAAGGGATTCGAAACAAGTATGATATAAGAGTGTATTTTCAGGCATGTGACACCATGAGATCAGGATTAGTAAAAGTTAAGGATAGATTCTCAAAGGAAAAACAACAAAATATAGTCTATGAGATCAACTGTCATGACTGCAATGCAGCTTATGTGGGAGAAACTTTCAGACAATTTGAATGTGAGGTTGAGGGAATACAAACAGTGTTAGAAAAATCTTCCCAAATCCTCAGTTAACCTAAAGCGTTGCATGTGTTAGAAACAGGACATAAGATTAATTTTGAAGGGACCAAAATACTTCAGAAAGGTTTTAACATTCATAAAGAAAGATTGACAGCAGAAGCGCTGTATATATGGGCAAACAAGAACAGCCTGAACCGAAAGGATGGTATTCAATTAGCGACTACTTGACAAATATTCGCTAACAAGTAATTGGACCCATTCTTTATTTCACATGTATCGTTATTTTGACTGAAATTAATGTGAGTTATCTTTTAAGCAATACAATTATGTAATTGATTATTCTCATTTTACATGTACGTCAATGATTCAAAAACATTTTTCTCAACCTTCAATTGGCACTTTTATTTTATTTTATTTATTCATATATAACATATTACACCAAATAGCAATCATTAATAACTCAATCTTACACATATATACACACAATTCGTTCAGTCATTTATTTTCACATTGTGAACTTTTCACATGATTCGCATTTAACTGGCTCATGTTATCCTATTTACTAATGACAGCATCGAAACATGATAAATTAGCACAATATAGATTTGATTTGGCTGTTAAACGCAATATATTTCTTAGATGATCTTGATCTCGATTATTACCCTGAAGAAGTCCAGATAAGTTTGCTGGAAGTAACGTTATTTCAAATATAATTTTTAATATGGTCAGTTAGTCGCAACATAGAATCTGGTACGTATGTACATCGGTTCAAGTTCCCATACTCCATAAGCACAAATGAAATTGTCAAGAGAAATTCCAAGATGGTTAGAGGTAGTAACAGTATCAGTGGTAATAGAAAAGATTAGATATCAAAGATAGAACTGGAGAAGAAAATATAAATAAGTAGAATACAAACAAAAAGAATTATGAAGAATTCAGAGGCTTAGAATCTGAGTGAAGGTAAAAAATGGATGCACTTGCGTCATTGCAAACGACTAATTTCTAACAATGTATATCAGAAAAATTTCCATCAATAGAATAGAAAATAAGGATTTCAGGTCTAGAGGTAGTAATTTAATAGTTAACGAGTACTTGACTACTAACAAATAAGCATAATAGGTTCATAATTTGTTCTGCCTTCGTTTATTTGATTAGCTAAATAACTGTTGAGGCGATTTTATTCGTCAACTGTGTCAAGTCATAACAAATCTAATCAAGTTTTTATCTTAGCAACAAACTGTTAATTTTTAAATGTAAATATTTTTAGCTTCATCAATAAAGTGGATATAATTAATGAGTGAAAACAACAGTGATCTTCTTACTTGCGTAAGTATTGTCATTAAACTGTCTTCACCACACGCTTCTTGTATCAAATCGCATAACTGATCCGGTGATAGCGGTGCATCAATAACTTTTTCACGTGGTTCTGGTGGTAAACCAACAGTTACTTGCTTTTGTAAGACTAATATATCAGCTAACGATTTAGCCAAACTATCAGCACGTTTACCTAACAGACCAGCTGTGTAACGTAGTAGGAACCATGATGTTGTTTGCGTAGCTCGTTCATAGACCTAGTAAAATAGAAGAAAAAAAAGAGAAAGACATAGCAAAAACGTAAGTAAAATGATTGAATCAGTCCATTATTTGGTATGATCAGATGAGTTTAAAACCGCTTTTCTACATAGTAAACACTTCCATGCTTAGGAAGTGACATGTATGAGCGCTGGTTCAATAATTATGGAACTCGACTTGAAATCATTATAGTTTGTTGGTCCCGATTCAACTACACTTGCTTTGATCCAAACACCTGTGCCAATTACATAAACATGTACTTGCTTGCGAGTTGCAGTACTTAAAGTTTAATTAGAAGCTGATATGGAAGCTAAAGTGATTGACTTGTAACTACCAGAAAAGATATATAAACCCTGCTTCAAGTCTTTCGTTTCGGGAAACTCAGTAATTGAAAATTAAGTAGACATACACATAGTCAGTTACATGAGTTATATTCTAGTTAAAATGGCAAAAGAAGATACTGAAGTTTTAGTGGAAGCTACTCACAAGAATGTTTGTAAGAAGTGTGTAGCGGAACATGGAGCCGAAGCTGCAACTAATATCAGATGGAGTGAAGGGTTTCAGTGGATCAGAAGTACGGCGTTGGCAGAAAACTTGGAGACTGGAAGAGAAGACAGTTCAGATGGCAAAACACACTGAAAGATACGAATGGATGATTGAAGGCTATGTATATGTATTATGTGAATACTTGGAAGCTTCTCAAAATATATTCACCTCTCCTGCCTACTGTCTTGCATAACATAATGACTGCATTAGTTAAGTGGTGTGATACCTTGTATATTGCTCAGAAAGAAAACAAAAATTTCCAAAAACATATATTATGATTGTGCATAACACATTACAAGACATACTTTCTATTCATCATTACAAAGACTCATATTGATAATATAGTAAAGTGTAACTTAGTAACTACACAGTAGTTCATAAAACATTAATTTTTAAGGACTGAGTTGACTAATATTTTAGCTAAGATCTGGGAGTTAGACGTTATTCCATCTGACTGGTCACAATCACTTATCGTCCCAATATATAAGAGGGTTAAAATCATTCAGTGACAACCATAGAGGGATTAGTTTAACTAATATAGTATCTAAAATACTAGCCTCGATAATTATCAGACGCCTAACTAAGACTCGTGAACTGCAAACACGAGAGAATCAAGCTGGCGTCAGACCTGGTTGTAGCTGCATCGACCACATATTCACCATTCGTCAGGTTCTAGAACACAGGCATACTTATCGGCGTCCGACAATGGTAGTCTCTCTTGACTTGAAAGCAGCATTTGACTCGGTAGACCGCGAGATTCTGTGGCAGTGTCTGTCATTGAAAGGCGTACCCCAGAAGTACATAAACCTTGTAAAGGCTCTTTACTCGAACACTACTAGTCGAGTCAGAGCTTATGGCGAAATGTCATCTACTTTTGCAACCTCAAGTGGTGTCCGTCAAGGCTGTCCACTTTCCCCATTTTTGTTTAACTTCATCATAGATTTACTGATGGAAATAACTTTCTCGTCGACTGAGTTCTCGGGTATTGATCTCCTACCAGGAGGTCCACTTATCGACTTAGAATACGCAGATGACATAGTCCTGTTTGGTGAAGACGCTGACAAAATACAGAGTCTTCTGGTAGCACTAAGCAACAATGCCAGAATGTTTGGAATGCGCTTCTTTTCCTCTAAATGCAAGCTGCTGCTTCAGGACTGGTCTGCGTCAACACCTGAACTAAGGATAGGGAGTGAAGTAGTCGAACGCGTTGACAACTTATCTGATCAGCCCTAATGGGTTGGTGTCTGACGAAATCTCAGCACGGATTCGAAAAGCTCGTTTGGCTTTTGCCAACTTACGTCACCTATGGCGAAGGCGGGATATCCGTCTATCAATAAAAGGACGAGTATACTGCGCGGCAGTCCGTTCTGTTTTAATTTACGGCAGCGAAACATGGCCATTAAGAGTAGAAGACACTCGTAAGCTACTAGTATTTGACCACAGATGCCTTAGAAATATTGCTGGCGTCTGTTGGGATCACCGGGTAAGTAATAGTGAGGTTAGACACAGGGTATTAGGTAATGATGGTAAATCAGTTGATGAGGTTGTGAGTCTTCATCGACTGAGATGGTTGGGCCACATGTTACGTATGCCTGAAAACCGATTACCACGACGTGCAATGCTAACCGATGTTCGGGATGGTTGGAAGAAAGTTAAGGGCGGTTAAACCAAAACGTGGCATCAGTCCTTGAAGTCACTAACTTCTAGTCTGAGCCATGTTGGTAGATGCAGGCTACTTGGTTGGGGTCCGCGTGACTATCGTAACCAATGGTTGGAGACTCTTGGTGACATGGCTCAGAATCGATCACAATGGCGTCGGTGTATACACTCCCTGTCTTCCCTTAAACTAAGAGATTAAAATCGCTTCATATCTTTCTTTCTACGAACCAATTCTTTCTTCCTGTACTATATCCTTATTGTAATCTTTCTTTTATATATTACCACCTCTGAATTAACTACTTTTATGAATCCGGTGTCCATCTTGTTGTGTTAATGAGGTATGGCAACTTGGACCGATGCATATATGTGTCTGGTCCTACGTTGTAGCTGACTGACTGATCAAACGGATAGACTTTTGTGCTTAGAAATGGCTACAGCACACCTTTCAATACGAAGAAAATTAGTCCGAATTACATGTTACACAGGCGATTATTATGTAGTGATTTAGAGAATCGCCTCAATATTCACAAATTACTATCAGCAAAAAAAAAAACAACAAATAACAGATTAAGCTAATCAAAACAAGAAGGAATTCCCAGATTAGTGCCATTAATCGCATAGCCTTGGTTGAAGTTAGACATGTAAACCATTGAATGCCGGCTCAGTTTTAAAGTAAAAACAGCTCATCACCAGACCAGAATTCTCTCGGTTGGATGCATCGGGTTAGGGTGCACTACTACATACATTCACTAAGATAAGTTCAAACCAATCATAACAAGATAAAAGAAACTGTCCTTAAAGAATAATGAAAGTTTATCGGTCAATCATAAGCAAGGTAGGGTCTGGGTGCATATGTCCATGAAATCATCAAGATGTAAACATTAGGATTCAAGAGGAAAAGCTAAATTTGGGAACTAAAAAGGTTTAAAAGAATTTAAAGAACTCAATACCCAAAGGAAAACAAAAACTCAATGCACCGGAGCCATCGCGATGGATTTTGAGTCATGAAAGTTTCTAAATGATTTAAATTGTATTTCCCAGCAGCCAACGAGAACGTTTACTGATTAATTCAGTAAATCTACATACAACTTACTGTACTGAGTGAGCTTACAGTAAGTGATAATGATATATGATATCCAAATGTTAAAGTAGATAAAACCAGATTTGAACATGTAACTTAAGGGAAGATAGAAACATTTTGCAAAGATTTTAGAAACAGGTATAATCCCTTAAATTTTCACATGAAACAGAATTTGATGATAAAATAGATTTCCATAAACAAAATATATTGTATACATGAGCAAATTTTTGCACAAAAATCTATGAATAGTATAAGTTTATCAACCATAAAAGCACGTTTCAGCTGTTGAAAAAAAGTGCTGATATTGAGGTGGATGAAACAGTTTGTGATAAACTTTATATTCTATCAGATTCACACTAAAACAATAATTCCTTCTAGTAAATTCATAAAAATTTGGCGCAACCAGGCAGTACCAATAACATTCACAGCACGAATAATGTTTATAAGTGGAGTACAATGATTTCCAAACATATAATACCGCGCAACAACGTCAGGATATGAAGTCCTGTGGTAGCCGATGACCAAAATGGATTAGTATGTTATTTGTTCTCTAAGGATCATGGAGCCTATGTACATCATTGGTTTGGAATCAGAGTCTTCCTATTCCCTCTAGGATGATTCTTCATATCCACCAACCAGACATTGGTTTCCTGTCTTTTAGTTCCCATACACAGCACACCTGACAAATGAAGGGAGTGAGTAGGACTACCCTGGAAGGTATACCAGAAGAATATCTGAGTTTCTAAGTGTCTTTTTGGTTAACACATAACTGTAGTAAAAATCCTAATTTGAAGAGGTCAGAAGAATTGAGTGTAGAATAATGATCATTTCAAAGAAATCAAACAAATGTTCATACACACTAACAAATGAATTTTGAGCAAGAAAATTGCACGGTAAGCTAATTGTTGTTCAACAAGTATTGAAATTGTATCACACAAATCCCACACATGTTTGTATAAAGACATCAAATTATAATCAATATTAATCAGGTGTACAGTTGAACAGTGAGTTGTGAAACCAATATACTACTCTAGTAAAGAATTCTAGATGTTACAACTCATACACCAAAATTTACGCAACATAATCATTTCAATTAATGTATTATAAAGTCATCATATTCACTATAGGAAAAAAAGTAAAGTCAGTTTATTCAAAGAAAAAATCATGAACTAATGCAAAGGTTAATTAGACCTATTAATAAGGGACGTAGCATATTTTCTGAAGGATTTCTCTCAATTGACACAAAAAATGATATAACCGACAGTTTGAATAACATTCAATGCTGTTAGTAAAGTTGTATATTTCAGACAAACTATTTGCTTGAAAGAATAGTAGTATACACTATTTAAGCTCTGTCTTCATACTATGCTGAATGAAAATCGAGTAAATCGGTAAGAGCTTAAGTTTAATTTAGTATAATATAAACAGATAGTAAATATAAGACGAAATAAAACAGTTGCACAGTTTCGTTGTCATGGATACAAACCTCTTTTAGTAATGAACGAACAGTAGCTGGTTGTGTTGGGTCTATTCCAGTATTCCAGTCTAAACCACATAATTGATGTAATCTTCCAAGTATTTCAACTTGTTCAGCTAAATTATCAGTACATCTTAATCGTTTAACTAATTGATCCGGTGATAAGGAATTTAACCAATCTGTGGAATCCAGCCCACATGTACTCGATCTTCCCTCAGATGTACGACGACTATGTGTACCAGAATAATTTGGACTGTTCGTAGGATTGATTTGGTCTGAACTGACTAAATGGGATGGGGAACGTTGCGATTGTTGACCTCCACAAGTATTTGAATCTGTTGTTTGACAAGTAATATTTGGATCGACTTTTTGATGTTCATGAGATCGAGAAGAAGAAGATTGTTCATGTTGACATGTTACTGTAGATGAAGTGTTACTTTCCGGATTGATAATGCGTTTTAATGCTAAACGTGACGCTTTGGATGTTAAATCTTCATTTTGTGTTTGAAGTAGACGATAATTTGTAAGATCTGTGTAAGTAGATAACATAGTAAAAATATATTAAAATATGATGAAAACAAAATAAAAAATAAAGTGACAAAGCAATGTATTGATTCAAGATGTTATACGTTAAAATAAAGCAATAATGAGATTGAAAAGCTGATAAAGATAAATAAGAACAAATGATGAAGGCAAAATAATTTTGTCAATAGTAAGTAGTAATTATTTGAGACTAATCACGTTTAAGATAATACTGGAAACCAGGAAACACTTGAGAACTGTTTGCTTCTCGTATAGGTGTTGGTAATATTAGATTCCCAGAACTCACTTGGTAAATGTCTCATTATAGTGAAAATTCACTAACATTCCACTACTAGAAACGGTTGATTTTATTTGCAATGAACTAACAGAGAGGGGCATAGAAACCCCAATTCCAGCATCCGCGATAAAACAGTTAATTTTTAGATGCACAATGAATGTCCAATTCAGATTTGACAACGAATACTATAGACGGCTAGATGGAGTTGCCATGGGATCACCATTGGGCCCTCTACTGGCTGATATTTTCCTTGCAAAACTGGAAAACGGACCACTTAAAAACATAATTAGCCATTTACCAACTTATTATCGCTATATAGACGATACCTTCATAGTATTAGAAAAAGAAAATGATAAGGACAATTGACTTAATCTATTTAATAACATTCATCCATCAATTAATTTTACATCAGAAGGTGAATAGAATGATAGCGTATCATTTCTAGATGTCCAACTAACAAGAAGAGCAGACGGAACTTTAAAAAGAAGGGTACATAGAAAGTCTGCAACAGGACTATACACTCATTTCTATAGTGCAGTTCCAATCAGATACAAAAGGAACTTGATAAATATCTTGAATCATCGGGCTAGAATGATTTGCTCTGAAGACACCATTGAGAAAGAATTGAATAATATTCGCAACCTGCTTAGTATGAATGGGTATCCCATGAAATTCATCGACAAACATATGATGGAGAAGAAAACAAGGACAAAGATACCCACTGTCCCTAAGAAGGTACTATTCATAAAACTACAATTCATAAATGACACGATTGAAGAAATCTTGACTTAGAAACTAAGAAGAGCCGTACAAAAAACATTTAATGCTGCCAGATTAAATGCCATCTTTTACAACTATCCCAAAATAAGAACAGCCGACAAAGACAGACTGCATGAATTCGCCAAATCTATGTGTATCTACCGTTTCAACTGCTCCTGTGGAGCCAGTTATACTGGGCGTACAATTCGGCAAGTCCGTCATCGTACTACAGAACACCATCCGTCATGGTTAAGCAAAGGACAGGTAAAAGTGATTAAAAGTTCTATTCTCTCACACTTGGTTGACACAGGTCATCAAGTTGAATTGAATAAAGCTTTTAAGGTTATCTACAATATCCCATCAAATTTGCCACATGGTTTACGAGTGCGCCTCTTGCACATTGCGGAAGCCATCGCAATCCATGTTCACAAACCTGACCTTTCCATTCTAAAGAGATTCGTACAACCACTTTCTCTGCCCTGGCCATCAGTATAAGATTTCCTTCAAAAGAACTATTTTTCATACTTCTTCCACTAGTTTTTTTTTTCAACTTTTGTAATTCTGTTTCTGTTGCTTTTGAACTTAATAACTTCTTAACATTCATCTCTTGATTCTTACGTAACTACTATCCTATTGACCATCCATTAAAAAATTCTGTTCCTTCTCTCTTTTTCATATATTACGCAACGTAGCAACTTCTTGATTTAATAATTACTTTGAATATTAATAATCCTCTTTCTTCCAACTACTCAACGTTAATTTAAATGTCATTATGTAACTATTATGTAGCTATTACGTAACGTATCCACTCGATGAGTATTATATCATTATTGTAAATCATATATATATTAGTGTAGAGCCATGATGAGAAATTGAAAATAAATCTCTTCGCTCAAATCGTTCCTTCTTTATTTACCAAATGTCTCATTTTTTGGGAAATTTGAAGTCCTTGTTTTCGCTCCAAAAGCGCTTATTTCCACCTTCATGTCGCATTTCCCACTAGGGAGGACCTTAACTGTTATTGGTTCGTTGTCTCTTTTAATATGCTATTCTGTAACGTTTCCCAAAGACATTTTTATACTGTATATATACGCTTGAGTTGTTGTTTTTGTTGTTGTTCATGCTTCTGGTTGCTTGTGGAATACATTTCCGTCTTCTCAACCTGAACTTCTCTCTCTAGTTAGTGGGGCTGGGACGCATCAGAATAGTCAACTTGTTTGGTCATTGTGTCACTGAATCTTCGTTTCGTTCGCAGATTAGGTGGACTCGTAATCTCTCCAAGTATAGCAATAAGGCTCCTCAGTAGTGAGGATACGGAGCCCCACTAGTGGTGGAACCTAGGACCTTCAGGTCTCTCAGTGAAAGCTAGAAATATTAGAACCAATGGGTTATTATTACTAAAAATTAATTGATGATAGGACCCAAAACAGGAAACATGTATGCTGCATGTGTAAAAAAATCCAGTAATATGAGCTACATTCAAATACTTAATGATTTATGCCATAGGAGATGGAAAAAAGGATAAAACGACAAGAAAATGGACTCTAAGATTTGCTTCTTAAGTTATCGCAAGATTTGGAATATAAAAACAGGTAGTAATCATTTATCCGACAGGAAATTTCAGTTATCTAAAGTACGCACATAAACACCTATATAAAAAATAACGTTTAACCAATAAATGCAATGAAACGTAATTGAGGATCATTACCTATGTAAGAAGGATTGCGGTAGTCCAGAAAAGACTAAAATCGCCAGTGTAATGATCCCAGGATATAGATAAAAGCCTTGTGTGGGGTTCACCAACATATGCCTCCTGCAGTTAGGGCAAGATGTTCGAATGAATGCTAAAGAATAACTACGCCTTTTCTGCTTTCAGTAAACTTGTGTGATTCTGATACTTAACAGTGCAAAATACGCATAAACTACGTTTTATTACGTCAGAGATGTTTTTGAAATGTTTATAAACTTTAGAGACTATTTCGACAAAGGTAACTCCTACAGAAGATGCAGCATTGGTAAAATATCAGTCTGTGAAAATGACGTCACATCACATGATCAAAATGTGCAGACGGATTCACTTTTCCTAAATACTTAAACATTTTACTTACTATTTATTACCGCCGTATCTGTCTGTTTTTAGTGTGCTAAATAAGGTTTTAACGTTATTCCTGTAAAAAATCACTTTAAAGCATAGCCGATCAGTCAATTTGTGTTAAGTTCACTTACTGTGGTCCAATATGGCTTGGACCACCACACTTCATTCGATTATTCGCAATCAGAACAATAAATTGAGGGTAAATAATAAATACGTAGATTCCGATAACACAAATAACAAATATACAGTGTTAATAACATCAGAGTCTATGTCGAAAGATTTCCTGGTAGCTTCTCAACTTATCCGCCAGGGCAGATTGATTGAAAATGGTTCCGACTTAAGCTTAGACAGAGCATGCAACAACAGTGGTCTACTATGGTACGTAGTTAAGCAGTTCGTTGTTAATTCATAAATAAAACAAGAAACTCCTACTATTATTACAATATAACAGACTCCTCAAATTTGTTATACACAAAAAAACCCGATTAATTCAACTCACCATCATCTGTTTGGCCATCTAGCGGATCATCCATTTCAACTTGCCAACTACTATTGGTATTATTCTCCCCTTGATTGTCGCTTGTCCATTCAACTAAATGAAAATAGAAAACACTTTGATGAAAAACATATAAATAGAAATCATCATTACTGTTTGAGAAAACCTACTGAGAATTTTTAATATTTGTTCACCATTTACAATTTAGATACTTCCGAACCATTTAATCGTGATTAAGTGGTCTAATCAGCCAAGGTCTCTCCATGAAACCTGAAGGTCCAGGTTCGATCCTCGGTGTGGTCGTGGATGCGTACTGCGTACGTACTCGGTGTTGACCCATATACTTGTTTCATGAAAGATAATGGAGATATTACCTACGCATTTGCTCAAAACTAAAATAAATGAGGCTACGTAGAAACTTTATAAATTGAGACACTGTAACACTCAACATCATGAGAAATATTTATAATTATTAAAGAACATCATATTACCTGTGTTACGATTAAACAAATCCAATGAAACAGCATGTGCTAAAGCCATAGATTTTCGTCGCATAGTATGTCTTTCAAAACTGTCTAATTCAGGGACAACTGGTGATATACCACCACCAGTAAGTATAGAATCACCAGAACTAACTGTGAAGTGATTTTCATCTACAGTCAGACTGTCAGTACGTACATTCAAAGTCATTCGACGTTGTGAAGTACAGCTAGTGATTGATTTTGCACGTTGAAGTATAGCTTCTAATAAAGTAGTTTTTGAAAAAAGAGAAAACAGAAAAAAATAGAAAAAAATATAGGGGGATACACGACAAGACTGTTTTTTTGTCATGAGAAACTATGTAGGGTTTCACTACACTCATGACAACCATGAATAAAACTCAACTAACAAAGATTTTATAACCAATTTTTCTGTGCTCAGAGTAATACAGTGAAATTCATGTACATGATTTAAATTAAAAATATATGTAGAGCAGTTGGATATTGTTAAACGGTGGCGAATATCGAGAAAGCTGTAAATTATGGAATTTTTTAAAATGATTATTATTCTTATTACATTTTGATTGCATAAAATTATTAAACAACTGGATTAGTTTATTTTACATTGATTGTATTGTACATTTCTTTTGGACTTTTTAATTTTGGTAATACGTTCCACTGCTATTCAATTATTGCTGACTGGTTACTTAAACTTTGTTCTGTTCTCTAACATTTTATGGAATGATTGTGTTTAGACTAAAATTCCCTATTTTAAGTGTGTTGTGGTCTGATAACCCATGTATATATAAATCAGAAGTGTGTAGGGAAGATATCTAAATGCTAACTTCGTCACTGACAAGCGGACTGAGTCATGTTGGTAGGTGTAGACTACCTGGTTGGGGACCGCGAGATGAAAGCAACCGATGGTTAGAGACCTTGAATGACGTGGCTCAAAATCGTTTGCAATGGCGCACGTGTATCCACTCTTTGTGTTCTCCCAAATTATAATCTTCTGAATTCTTCATATCCCTTTCTTTTTTCTCTTTCCAAATATATTTCACTGGATTATAGTCCTTGAATAACATCTTCAAACCCTAATTTTTCTGATTACAGCTTATAATCTTACTACATCTAGCACTACGGGATTTGAATCGACCACTGCATCTCTGTGCTAATGTGGTGTGGCAACTCGAACTGATGTACGTACGTACGAAGTTCTACGTTGGTACTGACTGACTGAACTTCGTCTTCTAATTGGACAGTGGGTTGGAATGAGCTCGAAAAAAAATAGGCTTTAAGATCTCAGTTGGTATTCATCAATGAAATAGGTTATTGATCAGTCCTACGGGCGAAGTAGTTAATAAGTGGACACGACAACTATCTTCTCGTAAAATAAACAACCATATCATACGAGAACAAAACAATGGAATCTACTCGAAAATATGATAAATATTAGGAAGTAATACTGAAAGTCCATACTCGGAAAAGCAATTGTTATCCCAGTAGAGAGAAAATGGTGTTTCGAATTAGCTAAAAACAAAAATACTAGCAATGTAACAACGTAGCAACTATGAGAGTAGATTCATAGACTGAATTACGAGAGTGGTAACTAATCTAATAACTGCTATTCGTTCTGTTGCCTACATTAGTAGTTTGGAAACAGCAAGTCATGGATCTGATAAAGTACAAGTTGTAGTACAGTTGGTATGTGGCTAGTAGCGGGATCGAAGATCAGCATTTAGTTCTACTTATGACTCATCAGATGGATGTTCACCGTGATACTCGAACCTTATACCTTTCGTTTCAAACGCCAATGCGTTATCCACTGAGGAACGAAGTCCAGCCAACCTGCCCACTGACCTCAGTTTTAGACAAATTTACTAAAACTTGTGAAATAACGGTATATTGAGACAATTCGCTTAGGATCCCCATTTAACTGCGCGGAAGCCCCACAACACACCTCGTCGAAGTCTCTAGAGACCCAGAGAACATTTCATCCAATCAGCATTGGATAGAAACTTCTCAGAATCATCTGGAAAATGAGGAGTCATGCGTCAGGTTTTCAATTGGATATTTATCTATATTGTTGCTACATGTAGTGCTTCTAGGGATTTCTAAAATCCCAAAGTTAAGCATAAATCCATAAATACTTTGGGCTTTACATACATTGACCGACTTTACGGAAACGCTCTTAATCTCATTGAGCACTTCTTTTTAATCGTTTTAATTGACGTGTAGAAGCTTAGGGTTATAGGAAGCGGTTGATTAGGAAGGCAGAAATAAGCGTTTTAGTAGCAGACTTAACAATGAAAACAGAGACTAATCAATTGAAGTCCAGAGTACCAATAATAACAAACTGCAAATCTTCACTAATAAAATACAGTTTGGAAAGTGAGTTTCTGAACTAGTAACGAATAAACGTTCTCATCAAAAAAATAACATAACGTATAGTTGTAACGTTAATTTTGATGAATCACTTCGGTGATGGTGATGCATTAAAATAATAAACAAATAAACTTTTACATAAATTTTACACTTACGAGCAGATTCACTGAAATCTATTTGCCTTAAACATGATGTTTCTTCAAAATCTCTAAGAGTACCAAGTATAACACTGAAATTAAACATATAGGTAAACATACTAATGTACGTAAAGCATATTAGCTAAATTTATGGACAACTATTGTTTATAATCAAACCAGTCAATTATAAACAACGTAAAACCTAGCGTACATGTGTATCTGTCGAAGTCACCACACCAAATCAGCACAAAGATAATGAAATAGTCTGGACAAATCTCAGAGTAGTAAAATAAGTAATAGCATTGGTGCGAGTAAAAGAGGTCAGTTATAGAAGACAATGATTTGAAATGAAAGAATAAATTTGAAGAATGAAAACAAATAAGATGATTTTAAATCTCAAGATCAGAGGGAAGACAAAGAGAATAGATCTAAGACATTGCAAACAATTCTAAGCAAAGTCACTCAACGTCGTCGACCACTGGTTATGATAACTAGGCAGACCCTAACCGAGTAGTCTGAAAGTACCAACAAATCAGGCCAACAGTTAAAGAATCTAAGGATTGATACGTTTTGGTTTCACCTCCCTTAGCTTTATTCCAACCTACTCCTAAACCAACAAAAATTGCTCGTTGAGGAAAGTGGTGATTGAATGTAGGTAATACATATTTTAACTACCTTAATTGATGAAGGTTTACTACCTCACTAACCGATTTGTCATGCTTGGCTATTTCTCTTGGTCTCACTTGAGCATTCTTCCCTCAGTGTGCAAACGTTTATATTAAAATAGACGTGATACAACATAAAGCAACGAGTTAGGCAGTATAAGTTAACTATTATAGCACACAAACTAATATCACTTACTGAAAAATCTAGTCTCAAACGATTTTCTCCAGCTAATGTCATTACTTTGTGATGAAAACTATGATCAATTTGTATTAAAAAAAAACTACAAAATAAGAGCTCAAATTTAAATAATCTACAAGTATTTGGAAAATTCCTAGTAGATTCAAATGTTGACGACAAGTGGATGGAGATAAGAAGGAATCCATAAGTTTGAAGCAAACATATATATGGTTGAAGGGAAAACATTTTAATCAACCAGTATCGAATAAAAGTTTCTCAAAAACATCTAGAAAGTGAAGAATCACGTGCCACATTTCTAATCGGATGACTACCTTTGTCTAGTAGGGTTCCAAAACCTTTCAGAAGCCCAAGGCCATATGAAATGTTATAAATACCCTCGATTTTCTGTACATAAACTAACGTTGGAGTAAAGTGTTCTTTCCACATGCCGTGCCTTTTCTCTCGTGTTCAAGTTGTCACGTAGATCTAGCCTGGTGTTATTAGAGGAGTTTAGTAAACCGATTCAAGAGTTCAGTCAGAAGATTTATCAGTTTATATTTTTATTCTATAACTATTAAACACTTGAATAATGTTATATTCTCAAACTGTAACCTACCATTTGACATATAAACTATCACTGTATGTTTTATCTTCCCTATATTATTGTTAGTCAATTACAGACTTATCACTTACTCTTTCTTTCACTTATAGTTAAACACAAATTGTAATTTCTTATTTATATTGATGTGTGGTTAGGGATTTACTTTACATAAATGTATGAGTCATGAAAAAGAATCGGCTGCTCAGCAAAACTGGCTAACTGCTTTGTCTTCTGACTGGACACTGATTTCTAACGAACTTGAAGAAAAACAGGCGTCAAGTTCGCAGTTCGCTGTTTATTGGTCACTATCATTGGTTATCAGTCTGATGGAGAATATAGGCGAGCAAATTAAAAATACAACTGGACAATACAATTACTCCCATAATAAACGATTTAATCACATGGGTCCCAATACAATGAAAGTGTCTGTTGTTTTGAAGATATGACAATTGTACCCTTTTTGATAAATTTCAGTTTTCTTTTTTTATTCTTTTAAAAAGTCAGTTAGATCAAAAAACAGAATTAATCTCGCATTACAAATTTGATACTATTAAATTTTCGCTCAACAAAACATAAAATATTAACTATGTAACGGTTAATTTATTTTGTTTTCACTTTTGTTGACTTTCAAGACTGACTAAGGATCAATCTGCGTTGGGATAGAAACTCATTTGACAGACTTCTCAATATTATTTGGAGTCAGAAGTTGACCACACTTTGTAAAGAATAATGAGCCAAAATATTATACAGGATCCAAAATGGATCAATTCGGTACTGAATATTAATAACTGAAAACCCCAAATTGTTATCAATACTAGTAAGATATTGAATAAGTGGCTCAATAGCCTAGTGACTAAATTAAAATTCTAGATTTTATTCCTAATCACTACTAAGGATTTATTATGAAAAGGTTGTAAATATTTATCTACATTTGAAGTATATTGTGTAACAAAAACCCTATTAGTTGAATACATACCGTGTTGCATTCATATAGCCTGAAGCCATTTTTTTAATTGCTGAAGATAATGGTGTTGGAATAGCATCTGAAAAAAATATAAGTTAACGCAACAGTGAGGAATTAAAAATAATAAACATTAAATTATACACGGATTTTTATCATGGATTGATAATTCAATAAACAATCGTTAAAAATTACAGAGTATTGTCTCATCATTCTACTTAGACCCAGATCGTTAATGAGTAACCAAGATATCACATGAAATATTAAACAATATGATGTATAGAGCATTCGGCAAGCATCTACAGAACTCATTGAACTTCAGACAGTCGGTGATACAGAACGATCATAATTCTGTACGAACAGTAAGAAGATTTAGACTACTTTTAACCTGTTTGTCTAGACAGATAGTAGCCAAATTTGATAAATTTAATAAAGACCAATACATCAAAAACAGTTTATCCCATTTCGAAAATAAAGCAGTTATGATAACAGACAAAATGTGGACTTCAACCAACGAATTTCATATAAACAATAGCACAAATTTACTGTAACGCTGAAAAGCTATCCAACTTAACAGTCTGCCAATTCATGAACAATGAATCACACACTTTTTCCTATGAAACATAATGATGATAGATGATTTACGTTAAAAACCTAGAATCTAACCAATAAACTACATATTTTTTCTTTTATTCGACCTATCAGTTACACAGCCTAAATATTTGAGGAGAGTCCGTTTTAGTTTACGTTAATGTCGTATTAAAATAAAAATATTCCTTTTATACTAATACCATATATATTCGGTGAATTAGGATCAACGTAGAGACTGGTACAGATGTGATTTGGCCCAAGTAGCCATACCACATTAGCATGACTAAATGAAAATAATGTAGTAGGAATGTTAAAGACGATGACTAAACCTTAGGAATATGGTTTAAAAAAGCAAAGTGGAAAGGTATGTATGAAGGGATACTGTAATTCAAAGCAATGATTTATAGTCGTGAAGCAGAACAGAACGGACTGTTGTACATCATACTTGATTTACATAGAAGATGAGCATATTGCCTACTCCACAAATAACACAAGTTGGATGAAGTCAAGAAAGGTTTGTTTAGATACTAACTCACTAGAGTTGATAAGACTTTTAATAGAATGGGAATGGTAGATGCGTTCAACTACTTCACTCTCTCTCTCTCACTAGTTCAGATGTTCATGTAGATCAGTTCTGAAGTAACACTTCGTATTTAGAAAGAGAAAAAGGAATCCTAAACATGTCGGCATTGTTCCTTCAGGTGGTCAAAAGATTCTTCATTTTGTGAGTATCTTCATCAAACAGGACTATGCTATCTATGTATCCTAAGTCAGTGAGTAAAGCTCCTAGAAGAAGATCAACCTTTGAATGGTTAAATAGTTTCAACTCATTACAGACTGATCTCATGTGGGGTAATAATGAAAACCAGAGATTATTGAATAAATACTTCATCGAAGAATGGGACTCCTTGTTAGTGCGCACACACGACCTTATCACAGGTTGAACCCACAAGCTTCAGGCTCAAGACGAACCAATAAAGACTACTGCATCGACGCCCGATCGAAAAAATCTAACTTCAATTAATTTGTTACATAGAAGCGATCGCCATCCAGTCCCACTAGCGACAATTGTTTCACTCCCAAAATGTTTAGACTCCACCAGTCACAACTTTTTGCTAAAAATTCGGAAATATCTTGAAGTAACTCACTAGTGAGCTCATTGCTTTAATTTATTTGAGCAGGATTCTCTGGAGATAAGTTTAAATTACATCTTGTATAATTACAAATGCTTAAAAAACCCATTTACCTGAACGAAAATATCGGCGATATATTGGGAATAAAAGTAATGGGCGTCCAGGACTAGTCCATGCATGTTTTAAATAACCTATACATGTTCGAAAACAATCCAACAGAAATTCTATATCCAAATTTAAATAAAATGCATGATGATCAAAGAACTACAGAACAATGAAGAAAAAAAACATATAAGAAAAAAGTCTACAGAAGTAATTCATTGAATAATCAAAAGCAAGCAAACAAAATTGTGAAGTTTAATGTTTACAAAATCAGTATTCTTGGTTACACATAGAACTTAAGTCAATCAAACAAAAATAGTGTAGAACGTAACGCAAATGTTAATTGGACCAAGGTCTGATACCACGTTAGCATGGTGAGATGGAATTAACAAGATATATTATGACCGAATTAATGTAATACCAGTATTTAGGATGATCAGAAAAGCGGTATAAAAAGTACAAATTAATACTGAAACTCAGGGACTAGAAGCAAGTGAAGAATGAATACACTTACTTCACTGCAGAAGATCCTGGATCATCGCACCTATCGGATTCAACCAATACATAGGATTATTATAAGGAACATGACAAGAATTATGATAACTCTGACACGTAATTCCGATAAAAAATTAATAAATCTAATGTTTGGTTGGTTAAGTGTTGGCTCGGATAATTTTAGCTTTCTTCTAATGTAATCATGTCCCAGCAAGTATTGAAATTTATAGTAATTGGTGTATATATTATTTGTAGAAATTATCGAAGAGAATTTGTAGTGAACACTATAGGTCAATTATTTATTGACTAGTTTATATATGTATCACAACAAAATTATTTTGTTTTCGAAATTCTGAAGTTTCTTATGGTGAATGTACAGTAGAATGGAAACATCTCATGTATATTGGTTAGAACAAACAGTTTACAATTGATAACACGTAAGCATCTGTTTTTCACCTATTTTGTTGTAAGACGTGAAGTGACCTTATATTGGCATTGAGTGAGTATGTAGTAAGCCCATTCAACTACTGTATTATTTATCTGCTCACTATAATTTAGACACTTGATCCACTATGTAATTTTCTGTATGAGTCTGATTGAGCACATGTCAATTTTTAATCTATTCTCCCATTGGTCGTAATACACAGACAATCAATAATTTATCCACACTTGATTAACACTCATAAATATATATGGATTTTTAACACACACACACACACTCACTCTTAGTTTCCCTTTGTGTTTGCCTCCTGTACGCTTACGGATTTTACCAATCTTTAACAATAAACTATCTCTATAACTGGTGTTCAGGCTTTTGAATAATCTCGAGTAAGTCCATAATTCTACTAAAAGATTTAGCCTGAATTTAATATTCAGTTGACGGGATATTATTTATTGGAGTCAGATATAGGGGAAATTAGCCCCTACATTTATATCAAATAATGATTTAGGTGCTAACATATTTTTTTAACTTTTTCTAGGACTAGTCATCTCCTAGGCCATCACAGAAGGGTTTAAAAACTACAGTCGAATAAACTCAGAGTGGGATTCCGAACACCCTATCCAAACAAGTAGTGTCAACCCTATTGGCGTACACTTTTTAAAAACTAGATCTTTACTGGAAAGCATACTTCAAATATTAACACAAGTCGACCAACCTATCCTTATCACTGAGGTCTGAAAAAATAACTTATAGAGAATCACACTTGGTGAAATTCCAAGTAAAAATTTATCAACAATGGTGCTGACAAACACATTATTCACCATATTTTCGATTATCCAAACGTCTTTTGCATACTACAAGTGTGTATTATTTACACACTAAAGAAATAAGAAGTATACACATAAGGTAATCAATTTAGACACTAATTGACTCAGAGATTCGAGCACAGTTCGCAGTCTACAAGAAATATCAAAATTCACAAATTACTTCCTGTCAAAATGACATTCTCCTCAGCTTTACGCGCACACATTGTATGAACTAACGAGACATTCGGTATACTTTAAGTATTGGATGACATTACATAACAAATAGGAATAATGGGAATAACTTTTTCTTAAAACCGTTGACACGTAAATCACACGTTCGAACCACCGTGATTTATTTTAATATACTGAACTTGGTAATACAACAATTAGCCCTTATACCAACCTAAATACCGAATTTGGAATACATGATTATAACAATATAAGGAAGAGATTAAAATAACCGCGATGGACTTTTAGACAGCTCTTAGCCAATCAGAAAACAGCCTTTATAAGTGTTCTCTTATCAGACTGGAAAGAGGGACAGAAAATGGATGTACATTCTGGACCATTGGGAATTAAAATTATCTCGGCCTCAACCCAAGTTTAATTGTGCTAGGCTAAGTGTATCACTGGTCACACACAGTCAATATTGCATGACAACAGAACAGGATCATCAATTGGTATTGATGACAATTTAGTTAAAACACTAGCCACTAAATGCCCTGGTATGGCCGACAGTGTGGTGGGTCCGCCCTCCCTCTCGAAATGCTCTCACATGGCCACGCGTATATAGCCTCTGCCAGGGAAGTCCTACTCACTGCCTTCTCGTGGCGGGGGTGTTGTTTACGAAAATGGGAGGACGAAAAGCGAATGTCCGGTGCTTTAACCGGATTCCAAACCAATGGTGCACATGGGCTCTAGTATCCTGAGGGAACGAATGGAGTATGAACCAATCGTTGGACACAGGCCACCATGGGACTGCATCTCCTCACGATGCTTCACTGCCTTGTGGGTCAGACCTTTAGGTCAAAGGCTCGGGGAGTGGCCTCCTAAGAAAACCACCAGATTCAGTCTGGGCACCCGGGCAGTATCACAGCCCACACACAAATAAAATGAAAATGACGATATTTACTGAAAATTCTATTCACGCTTCGATTAACAGTCAAACAATTCACATTATTATTATTATTTACCACGTCACTTATTCACTCTCTTTTATTCCCACTTCGTGTATCCTTACTTTTCGACTTATACAGCAGATCGCCTATGGTGGAAACTCGGTTCTATCTAAACGTTCTCGAGTCACTGCCTGGTTGAAAATTATTGTATGCTACCACCGAATACTAATACTGAAGCAGTTTTTCTGAAACCACGTGCACCATTCAAACTGGCTGCCTTCAACGTTCGCACACTTATGCAGGTCGGACAACAGATAGAGTTGGCTATGTCTTTGGAAAGTCTTAATATCGACGTTTGTTGTCTATCCGAGACCCGTATTCAAGACTTCGGTGAAGTACTACAAATTCGCTCTCCATCTGCCACTTCAAATAGCTTGTTTTATGTGTGTTTATCCGGGGACCCTGTGGTATCTTCGTCTGATTTTGCTGACGTTGGTGTCGCACTAAGAGCTAGAGCTGAGGCAGCACTAATCGATTGGATCCCCATTAACAGTCGGTTATGTGCTGTTAGATTATAGTTCCATCAAAGTGAGAAGAAATCGGCGTGAGAAACCATGTCTTTTCGTCATCTCCGCTTATGCCCCGATAGATTGCAGCCCGGATGCAATCAAGGATTAATTCTACCACCAGTTAACCGTTCTTCTCCAGAAAGTGCGTTCGACAGATATTGTAGTACTAGCCGGAGACTTGAATGCTCAGGTCGGGCGTCTAGGCACAGAAGAGAGTCGTTTAGGTGGCCGATGGGGACTTGTTGGTCGCAGGACAGATAACGGAGACCGTCTACTGCAACTGTGCACAGACCACAACCTGTTTCTGGCTAGCACTAACTTCCGGCACAGTCATCGCCGATGTGCCACCTGACCGAATTTCATAGGTACAAAAACTAATAAAGTATGAAATTATTTATTACCGATTGATAAAACAAAAGTTAAAACAAACTACAGTTTAAGCATGATGATAATGAACAAATCTCTAAACTCTATAAAATGTTATTGTAGAACACAAAATATGTTGTTACATTAATTCACTTAAACATAAATATATTCAAGATTATATGACTAACCTGAGGAAGAAAAGCTAATGTTTCATCACCTAATCGATAGAATTGACTTGTTGAAAATATTCCTATTTCACCAGTTGAACGACCACTTAGAGAAAGTTTTTCACAAGCACCTAATAAATGATAAATGGAACAAATATATCTATGATGAATTTGCAATTTACATATTTGAAATATTCATTTCTTATAATTAAAATGATATATTCACATAATTATATGTTTTCTATGTTAACATTAAAAATGAATTCATTATTTCCATTCATCGAACAAATGTAGATGAAGACAACTCGTGTAGCAGAGGTCTTTGCATCAGTAGGCCTCAACATACACAAGGGGAAAACCAAGATCCTAAAATACAACACGGAGAGCACCAACACAATCACACTTGATGGCGAAACTCTGGAAGATGTAGAATCCTTCACGTACCTGGGAAGCATCATCGATCAACAAGGAGGATCAGATGCAGACGTAAAGGCGAGGGTTGGCAAAGCAAGGGCCGCATTCCTACAACTGAACAATATATGGAACTCAAAACAGCTTTCAACCAATACCGAAGTCAGAATCTTCAATACGAATGTCAAGACAGTTCTACTGTACAGTTCTACTGAAACTTGGAGAACTACCACAAACATCATAAAGAAGGTACAAGTATTTATAAAGTTTTCTACGCAACATATTCAACATCCATTGATCAGATACCATCAGCAACAAACTACTGTGGGAGAGAACAAACCAGCTTCCAGTTGAAGAGGAAATTAGGAAAAGACGACGGAAATGGATAGAACATACATTACGCAAATCATCAAACTGTATTACGAGGCAAGCCCTAATTTGAAATCCTGAAGGGAAGTGGAAAAGAGGAAGATCAAAGAACACATTACATCGGGAAATAGAAGCAGATATGAAAAGGATGAATAACAACTGGAAGGAGCTGGAGCGGCCTATGCTCCTTCATGAGAAAAAAACAGGCGTAAGTAAGCATTTCCATTCATATTTTGAAGAAGTATACAGACTAATGAGAAATTATTTTGTTATAATAGATTATGATTATTGGGATCATGTACAATATAATTCATCTGTGTTAAATAGCAAATGAAGTATGAAATAAATCACTGAAAAAAAAACAATAGCCAACACTTTGAATTATAAATCGTGGAACATTTTTACAAGTAAAATTAATCAAATATTTACAATGAGTTGGTAAACAATAGTTTACTATTTGATGGTAGTAGAATGAGAATCAAATTCGAAGAATAGAGAGAACTCTACTATTTCCTTCAAATTTGCATACTAGACAAGGAGTTACATTCAATGTATGGGGACTAGTGGTACTAAATAAAGGTTGATTGGTACGATGATAGAACTGTTGATGTATCCAGTTTAAAGTTCAGTAGCTGAATCAATCTGTTACCGCTTGCTAAGACGATCATAAGATTACTCAAATTTCGTTAAGAATGCTACAATCTTAGCAGAAATGATAACTTTAAGTTCTTTTTTTCCAAATCGATTTTGCGCATGACCTTTGCTTTTTTCTGATTGGTTACCATAGCTCTCAGCTAAATTTCTGTACTCTCGAAGTTCATGTCTTCGTTTCTAGATATACAGAGTTGTGTTACGTTGTTTCATTCTGCCACCAAACACAATAAAAGCAGGGAGAACTTCATTTTAAACTTTAAAATTAATTATTCTAAAGACACTTACCGTAAAAAAACACTTGTCTCCTATTTTCTATGAGATAATTGGTGACATGGCTCAGAATCGATCACAGTAACGTAGGTGTATACACTCTCTGTCTTCCCTTAAAATAAGAGATTAAAATCGCTTCATATCTTTCCTTCTACCAACTAATTCTTTCTTTTAAATATTACCACCTCTGAATTAACTACTTTTATGAATCCGGTGTCCATCTTGTTGTGTTAATGAGGTATGGCAACTTGGACTGATGTATATATGTGCCTGGTCCTACGTTGTAGCTGACTGACTGACTGAATTGACAAGCTCAGTAGACACCAACCTCGGTAAACTAGTTTATATAAATATTCTTGTTACAGGGATCAAATATACTAGGTATAAGTTCTATTATAATTGGACAAAAATAGCATACATTGGATATTTAATGTACTAAGCCAAACTTAGGCTTGATATCGACTGATTTACAAACATTTATCTTTTTTTCCACAAAATTACAATATTACTGTAGTGAAGGAGAACTCAGGTAAAGAAAACCAATTTATTGTTGAATGCAAAAATACAGTGCTTTCTTAAAATATGAAAACCATACATTAAATACACCATTTGTACATCTTCCTTGAGTTGTCCTTTACATGCTCCATGATTTTTTTTCAATTTTACTGTCATTACAATTGCTCTCTGTTTCCCTTCGTGTTCCCTTCAATTCAATCTTCAGCTGTCGAGCCTTCTAATTCTGATTGATGATATATACTACTTATATCTGTCAACATAATTAGCATACATTACACCACGAGTAAAATTCAACTTTTGGAAATGTCCAAAAGTCTTGGACTTTTTAGTTTCATATTTCAAATCCTTACTTATCAATACAAAACTTTTGCCATGGCCTACTGAACCAACTTACTTTTCACCTCTTTTATGGGTCACCCTATGTTGGAATATTTTATTCCATTCTTTATTATTCAGGGTCAATAATCAACTGTATGTGCAGATGCATGGAATTTTATAATTGATTTTCTTAAGACAGTGATATGATTACTTGTAAATCAATGACTTTCGTATTTAATCGTATGTATTTTGTGTAATGATGAAAAAAATATTAGCTTGAAGCTCACTAGACCCTTAGTTACAGCATTATTCTAGTACTGATTTTAGTATAGGGGCAAAGACGTGATGAGTCCATTGCCGATAAATAACTTACGTACCAAATAAAGTGCTTTTAGCTTCCCTAGAAGACAGCTTTATGACAAGTAAAATGATATGCAAACAACCCCATTCCGTAAATCACATTAAAACTAATTTTACAACAACAACAAAAATTATTCGGTGATAATAACTATTAAGACTTACCTAGATGTCGATAAAGTTGACCGAGAATTTTAGCTGGATAAACGTTTATTCCAGCTTCATTATAAATCTCTTCAAATGTTTGTACTTCAACTTGATATTCCATTAACTGTTGTTTAATCTCGTTATCTTCAGCTACAAGTACAACTTGCACTGATAGGTCTGGTTTCGGTTCAGTAACCTTTAGTTAGACAAAAAAATAATGTGAAAGAGTGGAAATAACTAAGAACAGAATTGTAGGTCAGTCACAACACGAGTAGCTCAATGGCAATGTTTCAAACTGTGAGGCTGAATAATCTGGATTTGAATTCAGTTAGGAAAACCCTCAGTCCCCTCAAGATTACAGACAGACAAACAAACAAACAAAAAGAAACCAATTCGGAACCTGACACAGATGTGTGTTGGTCCAAGTCGTGATACCACATTAGCATGACGAGATGGAAACAACAAAAGAGATCGAAACAATGCAATAGCCATGATAAAAAAGGCTAAACATTGGGAATATGGTTCGAGAAGACAAAGTGGAAAGGTATGTATCAAGAGATACTGAGATTCAATGTCTAAAGAAAGATAAAGAGTGCATCTGTACACTAGTAAATGATTCTAAGTCACATCGTCTAAAATCTCCAACTACGAATCGCGGTTATCACGTGGACCATAACCAGGTAATCTGCATCTTCTAACATGGCTCAGACCAGTTGTCAATCACTTCATGGATTGATGCCATGTCTTGGTTTGGCTGTTCACAGCTTTCTTCCAACCCACTCCTGTACTACCAAACATCACCCTCGCGGTAGACGGTGATCAGGAATACGTAACACATGTTCTTACCATCACACTCAATTTACCATCTTTACTAAGTACCCTATCTCTAACTCAGCATTACTTACTCGAGCGTTCCACGAAACATGAGTACTGACTCGAAGACACCTATGATCGAAAACCTTCAGCCTAAACTTTCCTTCTACTTTCATAGACTATATTTCACAGCCATAAAGCAGAACAAGACAGACTATTGTACAGTATACACGCCATTTGGTTGGGAGACAAAGATTTTGTTTATTTATTATTTATTTGAACACATAAATATTGGTACAAGAGAGCGCCAATATATATGCGCCACACAAAACAATGAGAATTTGAAGAGAAAGAAAAAAAGAGGTAAGGAGCGTGAGAAAAAGGGACAATAACGAAGAGGTTGGTGTAAGGTAGTATAGTAATAATAGTAGTAATAATGAGGGAACGGAAAGGTACAATCAGAAGAAATCTTTCAGTTAAGGAAGACACAACCACTTTTTATGAAGAAAGTAAAAGAAGGCTACAGCAGGATCGCCACTGGCTTCTATTCTGAGTCATATCTGATAACGTCTCTAGCCACTGTGTAGCACCATCTCTCGGACCCCAACCAGGGAGTCGTGAAGGACCGACAGAAGCCAGTCCTTTGCAGCTTTCTTTCATACCAAAGATTTTGACTATGTTACAAGTAAGACTAGTTGGATAAAGCTAAGCTACATGTCGTAATCTGTGTCGATGTTTCGCCAGAAACCAACCCAACAGGGATGACAGGATTTTTAAGAGAAAGAAAGTGGTCGATGAGCTCAACTAACTCTTTTTCACTAGATCAGGCATTGGCTCATAACAGTCCTACAGCAAAATTTCGGATTTAGAGGGAGAAAAACATATCTCAATTGTGAAAAGATTGCCAATCAGAACACCGACTTATACGACCTTGGCGTTGTGCCAAACAGATGATGCGTTAACCAGAACGAGCAGCCTAGAGTCAGCTGTGTCCTTACTAATCCTTCTAGCCTAGCCCTGTCCGTTGAGTTCAGAACACAATATCGGCTTCCACTGTATAAATCATGTATTTCAGACATATACAGTTTATATATAAGCAAACCAGACCACATCACACCATAAAATAGGAAATAACAGGATCAAGTCAAAAGTGACTGTGATTGTGAGAGACTGTAACGAATAAATTGGAGATAAGTTAAGAATGGTAAATCGTATCGCAATAATCAGTAGGTCAATCGAAAGGAACACGAATATATATATAGCTTAGTTACTTAATGAGTATCAAATAAGAATACATGTAATAATAGTCCATAAATAATTACTAGCAGTTACCATCCATTTATTCTTCGTTAGGATATAACAGTTTATTTCTATGATGCAAACCCTTTTAGCTGTATTTGATTGTGAATTGGTAATTTGTAAGCGTTGTTCAGATTTTGATACATGCATTCGTTCATTGAAGATCCTGGAACCCGTGTGCACTATTAGTTAAGAAGCATGATTTTTTAACTCCCCCTACACAAAAACTCTGTGTCCGCTAGTCCAGTTTAAGCACTGGACGTTTGCTTTTTTTCTTTTCAACCTCGTTAAAACAATTACCACCCAATTGTAGTGAGTAGGAATTCCCTAGCAAAGGACATAAACGCGTGGCCATTTCAAGATAGAAAACATACATTCATTTCGTTTAATTAGTTAATACAGATAGTTCCAGATGAGTTGTAGTGTACTGTATAAATCTGCATTTAGTTTGTTGAATTCATTCAAATTACTTCAGTAATTTTCCTGAAGTAAAAAAATTCCGTTATGACGTGAACTATTTTAATGAATTATATTAAATGATATTATATTCGTATGAGTGAAAGTGAGAAAACTTATTTTTAAAAACAATTAGCTATGTTACATACCATACGTCTTCCAAGGGGGTCTATTTCTCCAGGCAATAGAAGACCTTCATAAATAATACTTGCCAATATATATAATGACTGACCCCATATATGTGGTAATGCACCGACTGGTACACGTGTTTGTGTATGTGGATAAGCGATTTCTGCATCGATCGCGTCTATAGGTAATGAATAGGATTCTGGTACATAACAACATGTTCTGCTAAGAACCTGTGTTGTTATTTCACTTGGTCTACGACTTGCACTTCTACTACTGTTTGAAGGTGTAAACGAATGAGACGACTGAAATGAATAACAAGAAGTATCTTTAAAGCAATACCACATTTGATTTATGATAGTTCAACGTTCACATAAGGGTGGAATTGTATGTAAAAGTTTTCACAATACAATCCGACCCAAACACCTACGAATAATTGTTTAAAATATAACTCAGTAATTAATGACTCGACGTTGAAAGATATCTTGGTGTTGTTAGAGCTAGTGATATTATCCAGTTACCGAAATGACAACAGAAGAAATGGGATTAACGGGGCTTGTATTCCGAAAACCAGTGATTGAAAGATTAAGTCATCACTTTGAAATTTTTTTTATTTGAACACATAAATATTGGTACAAGAGAGCGCCAATATATATGCGCCACACTTAACAAGCTAGTTTACAATGAATAGATAACCTGGCCAAATTTTCATGTCTCTCTATCTAGCAAGATCATCTAATATCCAAACTGAATACAAGGATAAATGGAAATGTGTGGATATTTTACTGACAGATTTTATTGTTATGAAATTATCACAGATAGTATGATTTACAAATCTTTCTGTGGAAGTTAGTGTTTTTGAGGGCCACCGATTATTAGATTCAATCTTTTACCTGAAAGGTATTGATTATAAACAGAACAATTGGATGGACTATGACTTAATTTTTTGTAAACAGTAAACCATACTTAAGAAGGCTACGAGCGTGGTAGTAAAACTAACAACAGAAGTTAATACGTTTATACATTATTTAAAGTTAGTTAAGATTTTATGCTTTAGTTGAATCGGGGTAGCATCACATTTGTCAGGACTGCACTACAGTGATTCGGATAAATTTAGAATTCCGTTCAGATGACGATTATGATCAGTAATGTAGGAATAGTTAAAATGAACTCAATTTGTAAATAATTTCTGTTCATATTTTTATCTTTTATAATCTTGTTCAATGTACAATCCTCATTTTAGCTGTAAAACGTTGTTTGTCTTAATATTAACTTCCTTCAAGAACAAGTGATAAACATCCAGCTCCGAGTGAATTCGTCTTGGTTCGCATTGAAGCAGTCACAAAGTCATTAAAACGGAATGCGAAGTGCTTTATTGGCTAACTGGACGTGCAGAAAACTATCCCAACCGACGAATTAGTCTCAACTTTTGGTCTTTAGTCAAAGTAACCCAAATTAAGCATTTTACAAGCGAGATACTATAAGAGAATGAAAATCTGGTGGAACACGTTATTGGGTGACATGATGAGGAGAAATGTTAACTTGGAACATTTTGGGGAAAATGGTACTGAATTAAATTTCAGATAGTTGGAAGGACTTGTACAAAATGTTCTCAATATTTCTGTATTCCTCGAAGAAGGGTTTTTTCAGTCGTGCAACTATTGTTCTCATATTTAAAAACAAGATCATTAGTACATGTGTATTTCACGATTACATAATCAGACACAGCTAGCATTACTTTGCATTGATAGCGTAATACTTTAAAGTTTACTGAAATGCTAACAAACAAAAGCAATTGCAGTTTACAACATGAGCTGACCTTAGTTAAGCAACCACTCAAAGCCAGGAATCACTGGACAACTGTTTTGTTCCAGTATGAGACTCCTCAAAAGTGTGCACCCATGACCCCATCTGGGATATGACTCAAGATCCTAAGATCTCGCTGGGAGTGGTCAGCCTTTAGAACACAAAGCCAGCATCCAGTGGTTGAAGTCAAACACGTAAACTATTGAATGTCAGCCCAGTAATCTAAAGGTTGAGACATGTAGGTCAGGGATCTAAACCCTAGTGAGTTATGAATTCACACTGCTGAGGAGCATCGTGATAGGGCGAAACAACCGTCCAGTGCTTCCTGATTTTCAGTGGTTGTCTAACTAAGGTCAGTCTGTTATGTTAACTATGAAGCTTGACAATCTCCACAAACCACTCATGCTCATAAAACCAATTACCTCTGGGATAACGACTTCTTGAAGCATTTGCATATATCGATCTGCATCGTCAAAATCTTCACGGAAACTTGCATCAATCACAAGCCATGCAAAAAACATTGGCCATTCACATTCAATACCATCAAACATACGTAGCTCCCAAGGCTCGTAATACAGACGGTTCACATCTTCTCTAGCAGTACGAAATCCATCACGTAAAAAACGTCGACAACCATATCTAGTATCAAATTTATACGAAAACAAAAGTGTTAACAGGTTGCAAAATGCTTTAGTAAGGAAGTAGTTTAAGTCAGGATGTCGTTTGAATAAACTCTCACACAACAGTTTGGTCATGATACATTTGAGAAAATGATTAGGGTCAAAACATTAAACGAATGAAATCGATAAACCTTCTATAATGGTAAGCTGGCAGATAGAGATGAAACTATCGATAAACGTTCAGTACTCTACCCACTATAATATAAAGCAGCTCGAAATACATAAAACTAGGCAGTGTGCTGGAATCACTAACACACAAAATTCAATATATAGCATAAATCTATGTAATACAAGAAAAATATTTCGAGTCCATAACCCGGGCAGTATCACAGTCCTTACACAAATCAAATGAGATTTGTGTGGCGCATATGTATCTGGTGCCCCCTTGTACCAATATCTATGTGTTCAAATAAATAAAATAACCATAACATGATAAAATAAATTAACGTATACATTTTACAGAAGAAATTTATTTAGATGGCTAACTTGAGATTCCTAGTTCGGTTCATGTGAACTTCAATAGTGAGGTGACTCCATATGCCTAATTTTAGTATAATCACTCACCTATAACTCATAATAGATATAGTGGAAAGATAGCTGAGCCACTTCAATCAATAGATTATATTATCAACTGGCTTACACGCTTTTGCACAGACGTTTGTAAACTAACTTCCACACAACTTACTTCATTACTTCTCCATGCTTCAAGGATACTTAAAATTGATTTATTCTCAACTCTTCTAGCCTAGTGACTCATATTCCATGGTTATAGATTGTCTGACTTCATACAAGCCAATAGTTCATGCCTTGATATAAGTAATGAGATCACAATTGCTCTAAATGATTGCCGATCTCCTAAAAGCTACTGTAATGTTTATATTTGAAGATTGTCTTCAATTACGTAAATCTGGAACATCTTAAAGAACGGTATTCTAATTATTTACCAACACAAAATCGTTCATATTATCATCATAGTCTTAAGCGATTGCTAACCTCCCCAAAAGCTTCCGAATGATTGCGCTACGTGTTCTTTCAATTAATTCATCGTCCGTGACAGCAAATCCAGGATATGTCAGTATACTTAACAAGCCAGCATCGGTCTCTTTGGAGTTGGACTCACGAGGAAGCATACTTTTAACAGCTATATTACACTGTTCACATTCGTCGAGAGAAACACGAATTGTTGATAGATAACTTCCATCAGCACCAAACAAATCTAAGTCTGTAAGAGCCTCCAAAGCTGCCTGAAATTAAAAGAGAGGGTTATATATACACTCAGTAATTATATTCTAAATAATATGAGCTAATAGTCCAAAACACAAAGTGGATTCTATAGGTTATAACGTGTAAACTTTTATTTATGTCGTAATTATTATGATCACTTTTAAATCCAAAGGAATTAATTTTGGCATAATGGAAGCTCAAGAATAAAACAGCAAAAACCAAGTCAAAAATAGTCAGTCAGTTAAAACGTAGGACCAGGCACATATATACATTGGTCCAAGTTGCCACACCTCATTAGCACAGCAAGACGAACACTGGATTTATAGAAGCAGTTAACTCAATGGTGTAATATATAAAGGAAAGATTTTATGTAGGGATATAGTACAGAAAGAGAGAATTAGTTCGTAGTAAGAAAGATGTGAAGCGATTTTAATCTCATAGTTTAAGAGAAAACAAAGAGTGTATACACCTACGCCATTGTGATCGATTCTGAGCCACGTCACGTAGTCTCCAACTACTAGTTACGATAGTCGCGGGGACCCCAACCAAGTAGTCTGCGTCCACTAACATGGCTCAGACTAGAAGTTAGTGACTTCAAGGACTGATGCCACGTTTTGGTTTGGCCGTCCCTAACTTTATTCCAACCATTCCCAGCATTAGTCAGCATTGTGCGTCGTGGTAATCGGTGTTCAAGGCAAAAATAATCTGATTATTGAGTAGAACATCAATTAGGTCACAACATATCACACAACAAAAGTAGAATACATTTATTGGTGAATTTTTAGGCGCGAAAAACAAATCTTTATTTGTTATTTATTTGAATATATTTGTACAAGGAGACACCAAATACATATGTGCCACACAATAACAATGAGGCTGTGAAGAGACGGATGTAAAGTAAGTATAATAAAAAGAAGAACAACAAGGAACAGAAATAAGTGTATGAGAGTGAAATAATAAATAATAGGAATAGGAATAATAATAATAATAATAATAATAATAATAATAATAATAATAATGGGAGTAGTTCCGTTAGCAAAAATATAACCAGAAAGAATTCTTCCAGTTAAAGAAGTTACGTTCATTTTTATGAAGTAAAAGAAAGTTACGGCAGGATCACCACTGGTTTCTATTCTGAACCATATCTGATAAGTCAGTCAGTCAGCCACAACGTAGGACCAGGCACATATGTGCATCGGTCCAGGTTGCCATACCACATCAGCACACAAGATGAACACCGGATTCATATCTGATAACGTCCCTAGCCACTGTGTTGCACCATCTTTAGGACCCCAACCAGTGAGTCGTGAAAGACTGACAGAAGCCAATCTTATACAGCTTTCTTTCATATCACGACATCATGTCATACACTGACCACCTCTCCACTTTTCCCGACCAGTCCCAGCGTCGGCAAATAATGCACATGGAATTCTCTGGGACGACATTCGTAAGACATGTCCAAGCCACCGAAGTCGATGTTTCAAGATGGTGACGCCAAGTGGATTATCGTCTCTGTGCCCGAACACACCATGCCGAATCTCTGCATTACTAACATGTTGTTGTCACTGGATGTCAGCAATCCTTCGGAGACAGCGATGATCGAACACAGAGAGTCGTCTAACATCCTGAACTCGGAGAGGCCAGATTTCACAAGCATAGAGCAGAACCGCTCTCACCGACGCGTTGTAGATCCGACATTTTACAGCCAGACTGACATCACGAAGGCGCCAAAGAGTGACCAAAATGGTATAAGCCGCTCTGGTTCTCACTAAACGTGAATTGATCTCGTCCCTCACGTAACAGCCAGCACTTACGCAGCTACCCAGATACACGAACTTCTCGACTACTTCTACCTACTTACTATCCAGAGTTGGTGCAGGTTCATGGCCTTGCCGGTCTCGTCATAGTGCTTTGCACTTAGAAAAGATTAAAAAGCCTTTCTCCAAGCAACAGATCCACACTACCATTACCTACATCCATCAGAGCTGTTTCCAGAACGCCACTGTTGGCAAAGTTGAAGAGCAATGGTGACTGAGCAACCCTGCCTAAAAAGATAAATACACGAGTGCAACAACAATTCCTGAACACTTGATACTTTAATATAAAATAGGAGAAACTGAATCGGTAGAATCAGTTTTGAACCGTAAAACATGTTACAGGATAGAAAGTATTGTATCTAGTGTCCGTGTTCAACCGACTTGTGATTTAGACAAACCAGGCAACCAAGTGACCGACTTATGTCTCAAAACTACCACCTGAAGGCATTCTTCTGTTTCAATATTAAACTAAAACGGAAGTATCGGATGGTACTTTAGGTCTTATCATTTGAAATAATGGTTAACTGACAAGAAGAACCGCTATTCGCCGTATGACAACTGAATTTTGTCTTGGTTTGTGGATCAGAAGCAAGTTTACGAACCTTGTTTTGAAACATGTTTGCTGCGTGTAAGCTAGAGATAATATCTGCATTCTCAAATCGAAGCAGGTAGACTAGCGCTCGAACCCAAGACTAGATGGTAAGAAGTTGAGTGCTTAGATCATTGATCAACAATTTACTGGTGCCTAAGTAAACCGGAAAGGTAATAATAACTTTTAGCATGCCATACCGTTCGCTAAAACTGTGTTAAGCAAGCACAGAAATCACATAAAAATACAAAAGATTATCCATAATCAATACTAAGAATTTGTCATGTTACAAACAATAACGCACAGATTTTCCCTGGTCTCCGGCCGTCATAAAAACGTAACTTTTGATGTTATTTCGCCATCTTAACCTGTAATCTTTGAGCAAGACCACAAAATAATAATTTTTTAACGGCAACCCCTTTTATCACAGAATACTCGAAGTATCTCAATAACAAGTCATATCACTGCAGTTTAGTTTGAGCTTGGATATAATTGGACTTTTGTATATTATTTCGATAGTCGAGAAATGAAAAGAGTAGATGGGGAAGTTTCAATGAACTGGTGATCAATTCGTTTACAAAACAAATGATTTTTAGAGCATTAAACCACAGTATCAATGAACCATGAATTTAAGGTTGAATCTGGAACTTTTAGCAAATCATATAAACGCAAAAATTAAGTGAAAAGCAGACGTTACCTACCTTAGCCATTCCAACAGATGTCGTGTTAAGTTCTGGAAGCCCATGATTGGTTTTATCTCCACGCTCCCATATCCCGTAATCCTGAGAATTTTTTTATATTAAAACATATTTCCTTACAGGAATGCGATAAGCGTGTTCAATACAGAAAACCAGATTCTGAACAAAAGCTACTTCTTCAAGAGTCCAGATAATGCGCAAACCTAAAAAAGTCAATCACTTGGTAACAATTACCAGCAGCTGTCATTTGAGCAAGAATAAGAAGAAAGACAGATATTGCATCAATTTGCAAATGACCCCATTCAAGATCACCAACAACAGTTTTATATGAAGTACTGTCAAACTTTGCATGTAATGAATGGATAGGATTTTGAGTCTTCTTCAATAGTTCTACTTTATCAGACTGTTTCATATAGCAGATGAGTATCCCACGCATCAGCTTCACTACACACTAAGAGAATATTTATTATTATAAAAGAGTACCTTTTCCAACTCATAACTCCGACAACGATCTTCATCAACATCTGGTAATTTCCTATAGACCAGAGATAGACCCCAGATAGAAAGTGAAGCATATGTGTTATCTCTAACCCATGCATGTGAGCTTTTCGAAGAAGATGGTATCAGTCCAGTTATAGAGTGCTATAAAAACACTGAGACCCAAAGCGCAGAAAATACCTGATAACATAAAATGCTTGATTCGAGGAGGGTGAAGTAAAAATCAAGTTTCTTTTTATCCATTATCTTAAACAGCAACTATGGTTACCACAAATCAAATCTCCAATTTCCGTGTAACAGAAGTAATGACCTAATCTCTTAGTCTCTGATGATGAGGATGTATCCGTTTTGTTTGGATTTCACCAAATTCCTAAAAAAACATAACGTATCAAGAATAAAAGATGGTCTCAGACACAGGTTGTAAAGAACTGTTAGCAGTTAACGACAAATTTTCTTTAACTAAACTTCCGTTTATTTGACTCGAATCACTATCATATACTTGATAGAACCGAGCAATGGTAAACTCTTGGGCTTTCATCTAGAACTTATAGAATACTCTGTGTGAAGAGACTATGTCACTCAAATGATTAAAGTCGGCCACGAGGTTTCTGAGAATGCAGTTGACCAGTGAAAAATCGGAGGCAAAGTTACCCACAGAGGTATATACATCAATAATGAAATAAAAGTTAGGTGTACCTTACAAGAATGACAATCGTCGTCACCTAGTATAACAAATTACAATAAGCCTCTGAATCAGTTAGCAAATCTGTGTATCGCTTCTAATAGCATGACATAACTATTTAGTACTTTTAAGCTACTGTAATGAAGTCTCCAAATATCATTTGCCAAAATGTTCAGTTTATGGACCCTGAAAACATATCTTTCTACCATGGTCTAGTAAAGCTCTGAGATGAATGATATACCTCCACCCAGACAGACAACCTGATTTTTATTGCATTAATATTACGAAGCCTTAGTTATTTGTCAGTCAAATGACTCAAAACTATGTAAGACATACCGACTGATCAACTGCCGAAAAGTGAGAATATATCTGGAAGTTGAGACTACCAGTTATGTACACAATACTGAACACAATTATCACGACGGTATAATTTATCAGTCGACAAAGGAATGGTCAGGAACGGAGATAACGAACACAAACCAAACAGTGGCGACTTAATTCAACTATTAGCAACGGTAAACCACCATTAGTTTTCAACTCTGTAGTTAACAAATACTAGTTATTTCAGCAATTTTCTTACTGAGCATCGTCTTACGAAGCAACACTGATACATGTTGTGCGTCCGGCGGGATCTTTCCAGTAGGTCCGATGACGTTAAGGAAGAGTTACAAGAACAGTATGGAGAGACGTGATAAGCAAAGGGGTTTTATGGTTGGAAAAAGGTAATGATTTCCAAACACTAATGAATTGTGGGCACAAACGTACGAGGTGCATTAGCTTACGAGAAAAATTGCGACCATAAGTGGCATTTTTGAGGCTTTTTATTTGTAGAACACTTTTAACAAAGGATACTCTGCGAAAATTTAACTGCCTAATCTCCATATTTTTAAAAACTTTGGGTAGATCTTGGGGTTTTTCGCAGTCGTAAAACATACGGTCGTTTTCCCCAAATTTTGGGGAAAAACCTTAAAGTTGTGTGGGATTCTGGGTAAATATTGGAAAAAACCCCCAAATTTTCCAATACTTTGGGGATTGTCTCCGGACCTAGGGAAAATTTTGGGTTTCATGCTATTTCCCCGAAGTTTTCTATAGCGCCTCCCGAAAACAGACAAAATTTTTCCCAAAATGAAGATATTGGGTGGTAATTATGGTTTTATAAAACTTGGCTTATAAGCCAAGTGTTTTCAAACTTTTGCACTTGATATTACTAATAGTGAATATATCATGTTATAATATTTGAGACCAGTCAGAATTTAGTAGAGTTGTTTGAGTTTCTATAGAATATAACCAGATAAGCGCATACTTTAATCTAACAACTCCATCACTAAGTTCACTAAGGAACCACCACCTTTGTTCTTGTCGCGGTCAGATTACAAAGGAGTTTCGAAACGTGTAAACACATATCCAATATCCAATATCCCTATGATGAGCTGTATGAAACACTTGATTTATTTGTACTGGTTTCTTGTTGCCTCAGTAAGGTTTTGGATCTTTAACGATTTCCGATGAGCGATAGTCTTGCTACCCGATCAAACAGTTTAAGGGCTATTTGTGGGTTTAACATTTTTGTAATGTTCAAATGGTTCAAATAGTTGTGGACGGAATCGAAGAAGCTTTCGCTTAACAGGCTTCCGTGTTTGGGATCAGGGGATCACGAATAACTTCAGGCAGGAACCTAGGTGTGTTAACAATAAAAGAGGAAAAAGAAATTGGTAAATCATAGTATGATACTATCCTTAGTCCTTAAGAATAGATCAAGTTGCTTCTTAAAGGACTCCTGGGAAGTCGCTTTAACTAGCTCGGCCGTCAGACAATTCCAGCATTTGACAACTTCCAAGGAGTAAGAGTTGTGTCTACAGTCCGTTCTGCTATGTTGTGTCTCCAATTTATGGGTGTTGCCCCTTCGGTTGGTGTTGGGACTAAGCTTAAGCAGGTGTTTAAGAGGATGTTCAGAAGTGTCAAGTATACTGTAAGCCATCAGAAGGTCATCTCTAAGACGCCTATGCTCTAACGGGTAAAGGTTAAGTGATTGGAGGCGCTTTTCATAAGGTTTAAATTTGAGTCCTCGAACTGATTTCGTGGCTTGCCGTTGGATACGCTCCAGTCTCCTTATCCTTTTGAAGTGAGGGAGGAAATATTGTTTCCGTACTCTAAATGGGGACGGATAAAATTATTGAAGATTATGTGGAAAGTTATTCCGTCAAACTGGCCAAAAATGCGCTTCAATGTTACCAGTGCAAGGTTTGCTCGGAAGGCATTTTTGTCACAGTTAGCATAAGACTTTAAATCATAGGGCACCAGGACTCCTAAGTCTTTTTCGACTTGGGATACTACTAGAGAAGAGTTTCCTAAATTATAACTGTAGTCTGCGACATGTCGCAGATGAACTACTTTACACTTTGAAGTGTTAAATGTAAGTCTGTTATCGTCTGCCCAACTTTGAAGTTGAGTCAGATCCTTCTGAAGTGCCTGTGTAACAGCTTAGGTTGGTTGGTTGACAGTTGACCTCAAACAACCAAGCATATGCCTAAACAGTATAGTTCAATTATTCATTCACTTCCTTATTTTGTATAGGCGTTATATTTCCTATTATCTTATATTGAATGTTGAGAGGCTTTGTTTGTCTGAACGAATAATCCCACTCGGCTTAGCGAATGTGAGAACATCACGCTAAGCGGCGTTGCCAGGATTGAGGCTGCTTCCCTCAGTATGGCAGAATGGACCATATCTGGGCCAAGAGAAGTGTCTTTTGTTAGGTGCTGCAGTTTCCGGAACATCAAGTCAGCTCTCAGGTTCACTACGGAAAGTCCTGTGTAGTTGCAGATGAAGCTGTCATCAGTATATTTGATGTGGGTCGGTTTAAATGTCCGAGAGTACTGTTCAGCCAAAAGGTTAGCGGCGTCGCCGTCGTTATAGGTCGGGCCGTTAGAACCTAGTGGTTGGGAAACTCCAGTTTCGGCTTGACGAAAAGAAGCTCCATAACGAAATAAGCTTTTCGGATCAGAGACAAATTTATCCATAAGCTTTGTCTGGTACTGAAGCCTGTCTTTCCTTATAGCCTTCGTGCATATGTTCCTTATATGTTTGTATTGCCTGTACGTTCCATTGTTGTCAGTTCGTTTGTATTCTTCCCAAACAGTGCCTTTTGCGGCTTAGCAGGCGAAGAGTGCGGTTCTTGATGACTGTAGTTTGCTTGTAGCTTTTGGGGACCGTTTGAGGAACTGACTGCTTTGTAGCGCATGAGAGCGTGTGCAGTAAAAAGTCCCAATGAGTATCCACATCGAGTTGAGGGATATTGTTGCTGTTATATATTGTTACATAGCAGTTACTTTGATCTGACACTTATCATAGCTACCTTTGGAGCCTCGTTTTGTCTACCTCCGGCCCTAAACCAACTTCACCTCTCTAAAAATCAATGTTTTACAAAAACTAAGTAAAATATACCACTTTAACCACCAAAACTCTGACCTGGTCTTCACAAAGAAATTGTGACCCCTGGTGGTGTGACCCGAGATTCCTCAAAAACCACAAGGTGAATGTCTTTTCCGTTAACGAGAGCCAAAATCGATACAAATACATGGGATACTAATGTTATTTATAAGCTCAAAGGGGTCATTAAAATAGAGTTGAAAATAGGACAACACTCCCGTGAATGTAAAATGTTAGTTGGATGTATATATCGGGCTTCAGACACTCATAGTTCTAGTGGCACTACTATGAGTGAGTCATTTGCTAAGGGTGTCTCCCTTAATTTCGCCTGCAAAACTGTTTGTTGTGATTTGAACCGTCCGAGCATCAACTAAAAGATATATTATGACCCATACTTAGTACCTGAAACACACATAGTTAGCAGTAACATTTACACCTGCCTACACGAAACAACGCCATCTTCGACTTGATATTCTGTCACACTGTCACTGTCAGTGGTGGTTGACGGAAAGTTTCACAACAGCGATCATAAAATAGTCCTTTTCACTCTATTGGTTCCTCCGAAATGCAACAGACCCAAGACAATAAATATAGAGAATATGCACACGCTGACTGAGAAAGCTTTCGGTTCATACTGAAGCGCTCTGAATGGAACAGTTTCTCCACTAGTGATAGGCCCCCAGAAACACGAGAAATATTCACTACTACTCCTATGTCTTCACTAGACACTATTTTTCGATATGAAATCTCTTTTTCTTGTTACTCCATACATCAACCAATAACTAGGTCTAAGCTAAAAATGGCATATCAAAAGAATTCAGTGCCCAGCGCCAAATATACACGGCACTTGAGGGTGTGCAAAGTCAGCATAAAAAACATAAACATTCGGACGAACGTGCTGCGCATCTAAATTCAAAAACTCATGTCGTCTCTTTGTAAAGCTCATACGAAAGAGTGTGGATCACAACATGCACTTCATACTCCACGATGGTGCGACGTATAATGATTGAACTGTCATTTGTAAACTGCTAAGTGGATGGCTTTCCCAAAATGTGAGTAAATTTCATGCCCCAGATAATAACATCAGGCATACCAGTAAAAATAATTTTATTACCATTAACTTTTATCTTAG